AGCATCAGCCTTGGCAGGATAAATCTCCCCAGACTTATCCAACGGCTGTGAACATTTAAAACTAACATGAATCTCTATAAATGTCCAGTTTTAAGGTTTTACACAGAATTAAACCAAACAACATGAATCAAAACATGCACTTTATTTATTTCCACTAAATAACAAGTACATCAAATCAGATTGAAGCTAAGGGCATACATAAACTGTCTAACAACTACTGTATAAATGAAATGTAATATAATATATTTTCTTCTTTTATGAAATGAATTATAATAAGATAATGCTATGGAGTTTGCCCTGGTTTCTGAAAATGCAAAACCGTCTTTACCAAGCATTCAACCATAATTTCTCCTCACCCATTGATCTCTAAGTGCTCCCTCCTTGGAATTGGCAGAAACTGTATATGCTAGAAGGAAGGCAATTTAATAGATGAACTGATTGTACAATAAATTAGGTATGCATTCAAATACAAAAGCCCCAAACATGAACTACTTATGAATCCCCTAAGTACAACATGGAAAGACCAATTAATGTATAACATGAGTTTGGGGACAACAATTTTTTAACAGGACCTAGAAACTCAACAAAATCTTGCTTTCCTGACAGGAAGTCATTTCTTTCAAGGAACTGAGGAGTCTGCTTGATTATTATCCATGTAAATATTTCTGTTACATGTTTGAATTAATTTATAGTTTTTCTCCAGAACTCTATTTGACAATCACATGAACAAGTATTGGGTATCTGGCTGCATAGTGCTGTGGTTTCTCGGCAGCATCTAATTTTCAGACATTAAGAGTTTCCACAGTACTGAATACAACTGTTACAAAGTGATGCCTTCAGGACAGCAGTTGGTCAATGAATCTCCAGAATCTACAGCTAATTTTAAAGAGAAAAATATTCTTTCATTAATTGTACTTTACAATGCCTTTCATTGAAGAGTAGGTACAGAGAGGCATCCAACATCAAGCAGTCTCGGCAGTATCTGGAAGAACAATTAAAGGCACATAATGATCATTCTTTAAGCATACACAATCATTCACAGGATTGGATATTAAAATCGGATTTATAGGACCATACCTCTCCACACCGAGCATTTATTTTCAAAGGCACAAAACCATCAGCTCTTGTTACACCTATATTTACAATTGCAATGTTGGCACCTGCCTCATAAGCAGCTCTGTAGAATTTATTTTGAAGAATGAATCAGATTGAAAAAGTTTTTCATACAAGGATGACGAGAAATGGAAGACTAGATATTGATACAACCTTATGATTTAAAGTTTAACAAGAAATCATGCAAACCTATTTGTTGAAAGCCCTCAATCTAATGAAATTTCATAGAACAAATCTTGTACTGAACTAAGGACAATCTCAAACTCATATTGCTTGGACACATGGAGTGGTAACATCAAGGTTCTAAATATCAACACAGGATGTATCGGCCTGTATCATTGGGTGCTTTTATGTTTTTTTAGTTTTTTTTTTTCAAACCGGTTTAGGGGGGTCAGTTTAAGGCCCATCTACCCATGAACCAGGCCATACCCTGAAACACCTACTGTAAGGGTGTATCAGGGGATCACCAATACGCTATGTATTGGCTGATATGCCCCAATACCTTGCAGAACTTTAATCCTTGGGTTACATCCAGATAGGCAAGTGATTTGTGCAGTGTCAATTACACCTTCACTCTTTCTATAATATTTAACTGCAAATGAAACTTAGAAGACATAACTAGCATATTCAGGATCAATTGGCTTAGGGGATCAGAGAAGAAATAAGGGTCTCTTTCAAGGCTTCCCCTACTGAACATGATTGGTTCAGCATGATGAGAGGTGGACTCTTAGATTGTGTAGGATGGTTTGGAGATGGTAATAGAGGATTCATGGAGCTTCTGTCAACTTGTTATTGAAACTTGAGCCCTTGCATCCAAAGTGAACATCTCCTTCAGATGGAATCAGAGTCCAGAATCCAGAGACCCGCCAACTCTTGGGCTCATAGTATGGCAAAAAGTGGAGTGAGCAGATCTGAAATGTATTTTGGGGGCCACAACCCCAAGTAGTTGTTGTATGAACACGTACTTGATAATTTATAGCAAAGAAGAAACTAAACCATAAAAAATGAAGGAAAGAAAGAAGGAAGTAGTTGTTGTATGAACATGTACTTGATTTATGTGGTTTAGTCTGATGGCATACATCCACAGCAGAGGAGATTAATCCACTTCAAAGAAACCAGAATATGATACAAACATGAAACCCACCAACCTATCTTACATTCTCTCAAACCCAAACATCCTATATGTTGGATTAAATAAGCCCAATATACACAAGTCCAAATATATAATTTATTGACATAAATATCTCAATATTGCACTTCTTGCCTATTTCCAAGATAGCTAAAAACCAGTGTTTTAAAAGGCATGGGAGGCATATGCCTCCAGGCGAGGTGCCCCCAAAATGCCCTGAGGCGTATGCCAAAGGTGCTGGCACTCCTGAGGTGTACACCTCATACACTTTTTTCATGAGGTGTGCTAAAGGCGTATGCCTCATGCGCCTCATGCACACCTCATGTAAAAGGGCAGAAAAAAAGAAAAAAGAAAGGAAAAAAGGAAAGGAAAGGAAAGGAAAAGAGAGGGAAGGGAAGGGAAAGAAAAAGAAAGAAAGAGAACAAGAAAGAGAAAAAGAGAAAAGAAAAGGAATGGGAAGCAAAGAAAAGATAAGGGGAAAGAAAAATGAGATTCTTCTGCCTCTTCTTCCTCCTCGCCCCCCCCCCCCCCCCCCCCCCCCCCCCTCTTAAGGAGGCTTGCTCCTTGTGTTCGGGAGGCTTACGCCTCTCACGCTCTGAACTATGCCTCACACCTCTAGGTAGTGGGACGCCTTGCGTCACGCCTCCATGTTTTAAAACATTGCTAAAAACTTTTGATCAATTCCAATAAAAAAATAGCGTAGTGTGTTGGTTAGGAGTTGCCACAAAGGGAACACTGAATAATCAAAGATGCATCACTCTTAGGAAACTTTTTCTTTGTTTGCAAAAGAAAACTAAACTAAATATTTGATATCATTCTTTTCTTGCATAATTGTAATTTATGTTTTAACTTATTTATGAGATCGCATCAATATTTTAAATTTAGAAATTGATCAAAAAAATATCTTAAAGTAAAGAATATTTCTTTTTCTTATTGACTAGTTAGCACCTAGGCACTGACTAGTCATAGCATTGACTAGAATGGCCTAAATGACTAGTAATTGCTTCACCACATTGATAACACTGACTCCTTCACATCAATATGAAGAATTTCTATGAGATCATACTGTGTCCAAAATCTTCTAGTTGACAATACCAAGAAGGAAACCGTAGGTACACAGAAATATTATTCATATTCAAGAGGTGTCTTGGAAAAAGACAAACAATTTAGAATTATATTCACTTATTTTTTCAATTCTGTTTTCTTAGTAGCATGGGACATTTACAGATCTTATTATTTTTCTGTTAATACGAAAGGACAAAATGTTCAGCATATTCATACCTTACAAGTCGAAAAGCAGACATGGTCATCAATGATGATCCTAACACGAGTAGAGCATCACATTCTTTTGCAGCTTCCATTGCATTATCAGCTCTATCCTTGGGGACATTATCCCCAAAAAATACCACCTTCAAGATTCAGTTAGATAATAAGATAAAATCATCTTAACATTTTTTCTTTATATGTAATTTATTTAAGCATTATCAGTACACTCGTGAATTCCCTGAGCTTGAAAGGAAGGAACAGTGAGATGGTACACATGTTATAATGCCCATAATATACAAACACCATGCAGATCAATTACAAAGGGTGTTCACCTCTTGTAATGTAATTACTAAATGCTATGTCTCATACAGAAAATGCATAAATAAAAGAAGACAACAACACGTGTAGATTGCTTCTTTATTGTACTCATGTCAAGCTCAAAGGCAGGTTTGTTGCATTGCCTGGTATGCCACATGACTGAACATTTATCAGTTGGGAAGACTTGCCCTTCAGAGGCTTCTGAAATTGAAATTATCATATCATGAATACCAGATTTAATTAAACATGACATACCCATAATTGTAATGGAAGAGCTTTGCCACTTGGGTTAGATGTCTTTGGGATCTGACATCTATTTCAAATCAGAAAAAGATTGACAACTATTCAGTTTAATCTAGGCATATTTTTCGACCTTTTATGGAACACATGAAAAGATGTCCATCTGCTTCTTGTTGCTACACACAATATATCGGATAATATTTTAAGAAGATAAATTGAAGACCATGTCAAAAACGAACACTGCCAATACAGAAGTAATTATGCATATCATATAAGAAATCCGTTGCATATCAAAGCAGAAGCCAACTTCTTTGTCTTAATGGTGCTTGTTTTTATGTAATTATTCTTTCTTTATCTTTTCTATATTTACATGCCATCAATCCCACTATTGAATTTCCATGTAACAGTATAACCTCCCAATATGAAGTTCTAACTTCATCGACAACCTAACCTGGTTAGAGTTTACTGAGATATAATGATAAATTAAGAACCGATAATAAATGTCAATATCCAACATATATCAATCTTGTCAGTATAAAAGGAAACACCTTACGGGAAGTATAAAGATCAACAATTTAACATTACCACCAACTGCAAGCATTATCACAAAGGAAGGAGAAAAACTTACATCAGGTTTCAGTACTCCATTGCATTTTTGGCAGGTGGGAATACAAAAATCCTCCTCCCAAAATTTCTCATCAATCTCAATATCACCATCTGGCCTTTGCTTCATGCCAAAGCTCTGGTCTGATCCTGGGTTCCCACAGTCCAAACTTTCAATTGCCAAAGCCCACTGGAACAAGTCACATAATCCTCTCATGTACCATAATGAATCCCAAATACTCATTTCTTTAGGAAGTTTATGAGGTTGTTTACCTTACTGGTTTCATTTTCATTGTTCAAGGGTCAAAAAAAACATGAAAAACATTGAAGATTATCTAACAATAAAAGGTAACAAGAGCATGCAAAACTGCATTTTGACAGTTCTCCAAATGCTAACACATACACATGCATGATGAGATGAATAGAATCAAAGTTTCCATATGCAGCAAGGTTGTCATTGCAAGAGTTCAATGAAATACTTTAGCACAGCACCAATGCTGTCAGACTTGCAGCAGACAAGAAAATGGAATGGTCACTTGTAGACCTGTTCATGGGTCGGGTTCAGGCCAGGCTTTGTATATGTATCAACAGAATACACTCAGGCTCGAGCCCGAGCCCGGCCCACCGCCTAAGCCTTGAGCCCGAGCCTGGCCCTCATATGAAGCCCGAAGCCCAGGCCCGAGCCCGAGCCCAACCAGAAATTTGAAAACAGAAAACCTTTTCTTTTTCTATTCAATAAAAAGTGTTTTATTTATATTAAAAACCTTCAAAACTCAAAAATAATAAACATCTCACTATTACTTGGAAAAAAAGAGAAGAAGAACAAAGAAAAAATATTATATATATTATTTTTATTAAATAAAATAATATATTTTATTATTTAATATATAGTATCAAGTCGGCCTCGGGCTCGGGCCGAGTTTTTTTGAGAAAGCCCGAGCCCGGCCCAAAAAAAAGTCGAGCCCGGCACTTTAGGCCCGAGCCTGAGCCCGAGCCCACGGGCCTAAAATTATAACCAAGCCCGACTTAATAACGGGCCGGGCCAGGCCAGCCCGTCGGGCTACCCAACCCATGAACAGGTCTAAGTTGTGATCACCATCATTTAGCCCATTCAAGCTGTGATCACCATCATTTAACTAAGACCCGGAAAGGTCACCAGGTCACCAGTTCAACCATCCAATCCAAGTCCAAGTCTGACAACACTGGATAGGAGATATGCAATGTTGCTACCACGAGGTGAGGCTAGTATTGTTTGCTGGAATACAGCAGCCGAAGAAGTTTTGAGAAAGGCGGCATACTCTCTTCATCCGGCCCTACATATAGATGATTATAAAATAATATTACATGAATGGACTAGAATGCCCCTGATTAGTGATGGGACACCTAGACAAATAAAACAAATAAAACATTAAACAAGTTTAGGCCCAATAACTAAGAACTTAAGACACAAATATGACTAACATAAACACTAAAAACAGCCGAACCAACAAATATGATTTCACACCATCTCATTAATGATCTATTCTCTACTACCCTTGTCTAAAGTTTATTCATCAAGAGATTCTAATGCAGGAGCAAAAATAAGATGGTATGTTAGATACATGAAGACAAAAATGGGGAGATAAAAGCTTTAAATGGGATAACGACTTTTCATCACCATACATCTCCAAATACCTTGATTTTAGTATGATTTCAAAACTTGATTAATATTTACACAATGACCCAATGATCAAATGTCTAGAACGTTAATGACAGTCATGAAAATCTTAAGGATATGGTTGAATTTCCATGGTAAAGATTTAGATGTTATGATATTTGAATATTTTTTAGTCTATGCAGGACAACAATTATTTGTGATAGAATTATTGAAAACTTGCTATTTATTGAGAGGTTGGTTATTAGTATTTGTGTTGATTTTATGCTAATTATTCCTATTTAGATCTGGGTACTCACATGCATGTGTCTTTTCTTTATTACTTAAATGGGATAGTTTAGCCAACAATAATTTCATAAACAGGGATATTTTTGTAATTTGATTTCAGTTATAAGAAATTTATATAATGTCAGTGTCAAGTCGAAAGTTCAGAGAAAGAGGAAGAGAGAAACAAAAGAATGGTGGGTGTGACACCTTGTGTCAGTCGACACCATAAATGATATATTTAGATTAAAAAATAAAAGGACAAATCTGCCCTTCGTGTACAAAAGAAAGAGAGTACATAAAATAGATGTACAACAATGAAGAGTAAAAGTACAAAAGTAGCCTTATGGCTAGATCTTCTCACTATCTCCACACTCCCCCTCAAACTGATGCCTAGGAATAAGCATCAATTTGTCCATGAGAAATAGATGCCGAGCCCAAGTCATTGCTTTAGTCAACAGGTCTGATAGTTGGAGCCTGGAAGAGACATGAGGAAGAGATATAATACCCTCAAGAAGGAAATCGCGGATGAAGTGGCAATCAACTTCTATGTGTTTGGTTTGCTCATGGAAGATGGAGTTGGAAGCAATTTTAATTGCACTGACATTGTCTGCATAGAGAGGAATAGACGTTGATGGTTCATCAAGTATTTCAAGTAGAAGAGTCTGGAGCCATATGAGCATATCATCGACATAAAGGACTTCATCTTAAAGGGCTCACTAAGTAACTATTGTAGCTTAGCAATTCCTTTTGTATCATCCCCTGTAATGAGTATATCATCGACATAAAGAAGTAATATCGTTACCCCCTGCTTCCGCCTTAAGGTGAATAAAGAATAATCAGAAGAACTCTAGATAAAGCCAGCGTCAGTGATGACAAATCTGAACTTCTCAAACTAGGCTCTAGGAGCTTGCTTCAGGCCATAAAGTGACTTCTTCAGACGACAAACAAGTTGCAGGTCTGTACAATATCCAGGAGGGGGCTTCATATAGACTATTTCCTTCAACTCCCCATGGAGAAAAGCATTCTTGACGTCCATCTGATGGATTGTCCACTGTTTGGCTATAGATACAACCATCAAAAGTCGTACAGTGGTTATTTTAGCTACAAGAGCAAAGGTCTCCTCATAGTCTATCCCATATTCCTGTTTATAGCCTTGTGCAACCAACCTAGCCTTGTATCTGTCTAGGCTTCCATCAGATTTCTGTTTCACAAAGTAGACCCATTGACTTCCTATGAGAGATGTCTCAGGTGAAGCTTTGACCAAGTCCCAGGTGTCATTCTCAAGAAGGGCTCGAATCTCAGAATCCATGGCATCTTTCCAGTGTGGTTCTGCTACAACCTGCTGGTAAGATCTGGGAATGTTTGTGGTAGATAAAACAACAGAAAAGAAGCTATGGTCTGGTGAAAAACCATAACAGTCAGGTGGGCGAGAAATTCTAGAGGAACGACATAAAGTGGGTGCAGTGGGTTCAAGGGGAAGATCAGGTACACTTACTAAGGCAGTTGGAGTGACTGGGTCAACAACTGGTGGTGGAGCAGGGGGGTATTGAGACTGAAGAAGGTTGTTGCTTCCTGAAGTAGGTCTGAAGTTGTTGCGGAGGTTGCAATGGTATATCTGAGGTACCTGTAGATTCAAAACTGTGTAACAAGGAAATGAAAGGAGCTGGGAATTTTACAATATGTTCAATAAAGGATAGAATCTCAAGAAAAACTACACTACGATGGACCTGTAGATTCTAATACGACGGACCGAAGGATCATAGCAAAGGAACCCTTTATGTTCAGAGTTATACCCCATAAAGGCACACAAAGCTCCTTGTGTAGTTAACTTTGAGCGTTCATGAGGTGGAAGGTTCATAAAACAAGCACAACCAAAAACCCTGAGGGTACAGATTTATGAGATACACAGCAATGTTGGTCGCTTCCACCCAAAACCAAGAGGGTACATGAGAATCTTGTAAAAGTGTTCTGACTACACTCAAGATATGCCCATTCTTCCTTTCTACTACCCCGTTTTATTGTGGATTGCTTGGACAGGATTTTTGGGTTTGAATTCCATGTTGTTTTAAATAAATTTGGAAGTCCCCATCAGCATACTCTCCCTCTAAATCCAATTGTAGCACACATATCCGAGCATCAAATTGGGTAGTAACATAGGTATGAAAGTGTTTAAATACAATGTACACTTTAGATTTCTTTCGAAGAAATTAAACCCAAGTGAAATGGGTGCAGTCATCAATAAAGGTTACAAAGTACTTATATCCCAACCGTGAGACAATTGGATATGACCAGACATCACTATGTATTAAATAAAAAAGAATTGTAGCATGCTTAGAGTGAGAAGGAAAAGGTAAAATATGACTCTTACATAAACCACAAGTAATGCAATCTTTATTCACATTCTTAAAGGAAATAGTAGGAACAACTAAACTATCAGAAGAAAATAACTGGTCAAGTTTCTTAGAAAATGGATGGCCGAGGCGTTTATGCCACAAATGCCAATCATTTTTACAATTAAAAGATTCAAAGCCAGAAGCAGTAGAAAGCAAACACGAAGTATTAGCAGGTGCAGTCTTATTCTCTTCAAACATGCCTTGTTTGAAGGCATCTGAAGAAGGCATAAGGTCCCAAGTGTCATTCTCATGTAAAGCATGAATCTTTGCGTCCATGGCTTATTTCCAATGAGGGCTACTATTAGCTTCCTAGTAGGAGCGAGGAACATCTGTAGAGGTATCACTTATAGGAGCAGTGGTAAGATGATAATCTGAACCGAGAGGAAGGAGAGTCGCAGGCACAGGGGCTGGATCACGTAACCGCTTGCGAGAGAAAATGAGAAGGTCCTTCTTAATAGAAGGAGGTGGAGCATCCTATGAATCAAAGTTTGGAAAAATAGAAATAGATGGTGCAGACAGTCTAGCAATTTTAGCAAAAAAAGAAATGTGCTCAAGGAAAAGAACATTACATGATATACGAATGCGATAAATAGAGGGATCGTAACAAAGAAATCCTTTGTGGTCAGGACTATAACCACAAAGGCACACATGACAAACTGTGCAGACAATTTAGAGCGTTCACGAGAGGGAAGATGAACAAAGCACACACATCCAAAAACATGAAGCATAGATAAATCTGGAAAACGACCAAACAACTTCTGAAAGGTAGGCATATTACCAAGAACAGAGGAAGGAATATAGTTGATCAAAAACATAGTTGTACTGGCTGCCTCTACCCAAAAAGAAGGTGGAGTATGGGACTCCTGCAATAATGTCCTCACAACACTAAGGATATGTCCATTCTTGCGCTCAGCCACACCATTCTGCTGAGGGTATCTGGACAACTTCATTGCACTTGTATTCCATGATTCCTCAAATAAGACAAAAAATCTCCATCAGTGTATTCCCCCCCTAAATCCGAACAGAGAATACACACTTGTAATTGAAACCAAACCCATACCATAGCATGAAATAGTTTAAATGTTGGGAACACTTCAGACTTGTGGCGAAGAAAGTGTATCCATGTGTACCTGGTACAATCATCAATGGACAACACAAAATATTTGTATCCAATCCGAAAAGTGACAGATGTAGTCCAAACATCACTATGTATAAGCTTGAAGGGAGAGGTAGCATGCTCAAATATGTGAGGAAATGGTAAGGTACAACTCTTACTTAAGCAACAAGAAACATAAGATGTATCATATGTGTGCAAGGAAGGAACTCTATTCTTAATAAGACCTTAATCAAACAAAAATTTTAATTTTTCAACATGTAAATGACCCAAACGTTTATGCCATAAGTCCCAAACATTATTTCTATGACTCAGAAAGGAACTAGAAGTGGAGGAACTGAAATAAGCTAATGATGTTGTTGTTTGAGACTTCTCGAACTCCAATGCAAACAGACGCCCAACCTGCACCTCTTCCCTTTCACCTTCCCAATGTTTCAGTCCTGAATCAAACATCCATTATGAGAGAAGATGAGAATGTTACCTTCATCAACTAATTGGCCAATAGAAATCAAATTTGTAGTGAGATTAGGAACAAGAAGGGTCTTGGTAAGAGGGAAAGAAGTAGTGGGTGAAAGCTTAAGAGACAGATCACTACTACCAATAATGTTTAACTTTTCACCATTGGCAGTAACAAATGTTTGTGATGGGTTTCAGTAAGGTTACTTGGTTAGGGTAGGCTCCTGTCATGTGGTTGGTAGCTCCAAAGTCAATGATCCAAATATGAGAAAGAGAAGCACAATAACCGACTCACCAGGTAAGCCGATAGCAGAAAGAGCAAAAGTAGCAGATGTTACCAGTTATCAAATGTTTTCCTCAACCATAGATGCCAGAGAATCACCACTAGTAGTAGATTTCTTACTCCCATGTGCTACAATAGCAATGTCAATTCCATAGGTAGATCCTTCTAGTTTTATAGGAATAATATCGTCTCTATTGAAGGCCATTTCAACAAGAAAACAGCAGTCCAGGCACAAGGATATCAGAGACAACCAAATTCAGCAATCAAGAACTCAAGAAAATAGTCCAAAGAAGGCAAGTTTTTAAGACTGTTGAGTCTAAAACCTTTCAAATATGAATCTGAAATCTGAATCAAATAAATGGGAAGCAAGAAAACCCTAGGATGACACCAGATCTAGGGTTATAGGTTGATCGAGTCGGCTGCTTGAGAGAAAACAGTGATTTACCAAACATCAGGCGTCTTCTTCAAGAACAAGGAGGTATCTTGTGTTGATCGAAACAATCCATAAAAATCTCCAAACCAGAACCTGAGTGTAGGGTTAAGAAGAACTTGAGAAAACCCTTCAATCTGGAAAGAAAAACTCATATTGCAGGCTGATGTAGAAGGCCTGAAGTCCAAAAAATGCTGCAATCCATAAAAGGAAACTATATAGTGTTGCCGCCCCAAGAAGAAGATCAGAACTCCTTCGAAAACTTCACCAAACCAGATGTTATTTGTAGGTAGAATAGATCAGGTCTAGGCGACACCAGATCTGAAATCCAAAGCTATTGCAGTCCAAAAAAGGAAACTGTACAGTGTTGCTGCCCCAAGAAGAAGATCAGAACTCCTTCGAAAACTTCACCAAATCAGATACTGTTTGTAGGGAGAATAGATCAGGCCTAGGCGACATCAGATCTGAAGTTTGGCCTCGAACCAATGTCTCCCAAGAGAGATCTAATGAAATCTCTCCTGCTGGTTGCGCAAAGAAGACTGAACAGAAAAGGGTTGAACAAAACAGCCCTAATACGAGAGGATTACTACTTCTAGTGAGGTTCAAGAAAGAGGGAAAATAGATTAGAGAGCAACCTGCTCTGATACCATGTCAACACACAACACTCTTGGTCGAATAGAGAAAAGAACAAGAATAATCTTAGAGGTGTCAAGAATGAATTGACCCCCACCTCAAAGAGTATATATTAAAAGATATATACAATTACAAGAATGCCCATATAGGGCTGAAAGAGAAAAGAAGAATAAGATGTATAGGTAATATACAACAGGGACTATACTAATAAGATACATCAAGTTACATAGTCTCCACACTAGCCACTTTAAGTGGGAGGACACTTGTCACCTTAGGAAGGAAGAGTTTTATTTTCCCTCCTTAACCCATTTTAAGTGGGGTGACACTTGGCACCCTAAGAAGAGAGGAGTGGGGGGTTACTTAACCACCTCCCTCCTCTATATAGGAGAAGGGGCTAATGCCATTTTGTTGGCTAATACTAATTTATCTATAGGATTTCTAGCACTAAGAAACAAGTGGGAAGAGAAAAGAGAAGAAGATTGGTGTCGAGAGCATAAAAAAAGGAAGAGGAAGGTAGGGAATCTTGTTTTCTTCTTACACCCCTTCAATATGATACTCCTTGTGCCTCCCACAAGAGATTGAAGACTATATTCTTTCTATTCCTCTCACTCCTTTCTTTCTTCCCTTTTTTTTTTCTTTTCTTCCTTGTTCATATTGAAATACATGCAAGGAGATAATCATCTATAGCCTTGTCTATGAAACTTGGTTAATTATGGTTCCTTACTTCATTCTGACCTTGAAAATCATTACTTTATGTAAGGGAAACAACTATCTACAGCCTTGTTCATGAAACTACGCTGATTATGGTTCCTCATAGCATGATAATGCACATAACCACAATTTAAAGGGAATTTGCAGCCTTATTGATGAAATATGACTATTTATGATACCTATTTACTTGTTATGTATAAAAAGTTTGTTTATTTATATTCACTGGTTTTCTCTCAAACAAAGAGGGAATATATACCAAAATTTTCAAATGAAAATTCTGTAGAAAAATGCTACTTAGTTTAGTCTATTCATTTGTACTTCTGAATCAAAACCAAAATGTTTTCTCTACCCCTAGCAGAGATATAATTAAGGGAATATCTACATGATTTCCTGAATGGGACTTATCCAAACATCAAAAAACCCAGTTATTAGTTTAATTAGGTGAATTATGTTATGTGAGAAATTATACTATACATTTTTCACTAACACTTATTTAGTTTACAGATTGCTCTCTGTAAACACATAACATCCAATCAATCAAAATCTACTGGCAATTGGATAAATCAAGTTTGACATGCAAATGATAATGAAAAGTTGATAAGAAACGCAGATATGAGAAATTACATGTCTTTCCAAGAAAAAAGATTACATATATGTCTATTAGCTCCTTCCTAATGGATCATATGCCTACTTGCCATTTTGAGTTAGTAGCAAACTTGAAAAGAAATTGCAATGCATTTCTTTCTGTAAGAACTCAAATCGCCCATGCAAATTAGTCCAAGAACTAATATGTGATACTAGTACCTAATGAATAGGTCTAAATAATTTCAGTGGCACACCCTTTTCTGTTTCTAAATGAATACAAGAAAATAAAGCCTATCCTTTCTTGTGGTGCATGGGTTTGATCTTGTGCACTATTTTAAGATGGCATTCATATATACATTCCTTAAGCATTTGTAAAATTGCCACAATTAACAGGAATAAATCCACCAAAATTTTAAAACTTCCTTGTCCTGCAAGTGTAGGTAATAATATAGATACTTAACATGAAACAGAAAATACCTTTGGATTAAGGGCCTTCAATTGGTCCTGAAATAAGTGGCGGCACAAGGAGAACCCACATTCCAAACAAACTACAGAATAAACAGTGCCATGTAATTCAAGTGGGTTGCTACCAGCACGATGATGCAGCCTTACAAAGACGTCAAATAATTACTCCTATTAGATTCTATACAGATTTTCTGTCCTCAAGTAAAGGCTTTATGTTATAAACCTTACCTGTCAACATTCTGTGTAATCATAAAATTTACTCGACCAACTTTTTCTAGAGATGCTAATGCCATATGAGCTGCACCTGGCTGTGCAGCATTGAACCTTTTCCATCCTGCATAGCTTCTGGCCCAATACCGCCTACGAGTTCGGATTGACCGGATGAATTCCTGTTAGGAAGCACTCTCATGGGAATAGAAGTTTAGAAATAAAAATCTGAAGAAAGAAAAACCAGAACAATTATGAAAATGTATTGCCAAAACAATTTGCTCAATGCAGACAAAATTTAGAAAATTACTACCAAAATAAATTGCCAGAAGCCATCTTGGAAGAGACCAAATTTTTGAAGGCAGTGATCATCTTTATACAGCTAATTTCTTTCTCTAGTCTTGTTATTGAGATAGTTTCTCAGAAAACATCATCATCTAAGCCTTATCCCAACTATATGGGGTCGGTTACAAGGTTCCTGTTTCACCATTCAGCTCTGTTTAGTGCCGTATCCATTGTTAAATTATTAGCGCTTAAATCATTTCTTACTACTTCAGCCCATGTCCTTTTTATTTTCACCTAGCCCTTCTCAGAAACCAATTGGTCTAAATTCCAATGAATCAAGTCAGGAAAGAGGAATTCTATCAATGTTTTGATCATAAATCTTTGGTTTATCTTTGATTTTTCAATTAAGGTGTATATTAATTGCAAAGTCCTGCGGCTGTGGCATCAAGAGAAATGTGTAACTTGGAAAGAATGCATTTATTTCCTATCATTGAAAGCTAATCATAGAAAGGTCATAAATCTGCAATAACCGATTTATCTGTTGGTCTGGAAAATTCTCACTTCTGATTAAACTTTTATAAAAGCTTCCAGTGATGTAACATTCAGCTGATGTGCATGAAGTTAATTGATCCTTTCTAAAACTTATATTCTTTTCCATATTGATCCCTCATATAACTCTAAAGATCTTAAGTCCCTTAGCTTAATGCATTCATTGACAAGGTTAATGATCATTGTAAATGTTAACTTATATTTCTTTCTCTTTTTATGTAATTAGGTGCTTTTTTTTTGATAGGTAGGTGCATTGGAATATGGTAGTTTTTCATTTCTCAATTCTTTCCATTATTACTCCTTAGTAGGAGACACTTTCCAGTTTTTTCCAATAAAACCCCTAGAGCAGGATCCCAGGTAAGGGTCATTATGCATCATTATCATATACTACAGATAAAGCATATAAGGTTGGAAACACTTTAACCTTTCCAGCTCCCTTTCTTTATTTGTCCTTGTTAACCATTCAAAAATTGAATTGTTGATTATTGTTTTAAATTTCTATGTAACATTGAAAATTTTGGAACATTTTGGTGTTGGTAAACTACAATAAAATGTTAAACTTAATATTTAGTAAATTTATTTCAGCCAGATGTCAGAAAATTTGGAATCTTTTTAATAAATTTCTGAATATTTAAAAATTTTGTATTATAAATAACATAAATTTCAGTTGACCTAGTAAACAAGTTTATGCAACTCATGGATACCTTTCCCTACAGAGTACAGACAAAGGGGACCAATGCCAATTCCTTTTAGAATGTCTTTTCATGGGTCCCACCATGTCTGTAGAGCAAGGTATCCAAGAGTTACATAATGTTGTTGTTTACTAGATTTCGCCTAAACATTTTTAGTTGTATTTTCCCAGTATGCTGAAACATTTTAATGGTGTTTTTGATAGTCAAAATAATGAAACCTCATTTTATTTTGTTCAATCTGAACGATTGAAATAACCAAAATTTCAGTTCTTAAAAACCTTGATAATGATAATGAACTAAGAGAAGAACTAGAATATGCCATAGAAACCAACTCTCAAACATGAGTAATTCTGAAGCTGCTTACTTGGATGTTGTACTTGCAAGAAATCTTTCATGATATAAAATATTTGAAATTTCATTTTCAAAAAAGTGCAAGAGGAACAGTTTCTAAGCTCATGGCCTCAAATCACCTGATGTGTAATTGGTTTGAAACCTGAACTATAAGCTCCATTTGGACTGCAATAAAACAAAGTTATGTTACTGCTGTGTGGAAAGAAAGGCATTTTAGAACTGGAACACATTTGATGTTTAAAAAGATCGGTTAAGATGTTTAGATCACAAACTCTTAAAATTAATATTCTCAGGTTCTTATTGAGGTTGATTGTCTTAGTCTTTTTTACTGAATATTATTTTCTTTTAATCATGATTAAACTCAACCAAAACAAAAATACTAGGCCATAAAGGCCATTACCCAATACTAGTCCGGGCTATCCAGGGTCTTGAGAAGGGTGAACTGGACATGTACCTAATCTCTGCCTTATTTTGCATAGGCAGTTCCTCTCAGACTCAACCAAAATAACACTTGTCAAGGTTTTACTATTGCATCAGGCAATGACTCAACCAAAACATCAATCCTTTTTCTATTAATACTCATAAAAAATATGCTAAATTTTAACTGGATGAAATTAGCTTAAGAGCTGAACAAAGTTCATAGAAGAGATCAGTATGTAGAGAATAGAAATTTCTTGCCAAGAACTATCATTGTCTGTCAACACACTAACAATAAAGATTCAAATTGAAGCTAATTTGCATTAATTTCCATACTTGTAGACTCAGAGACATATGTTGCATATTCAACTCAAAAAGCAATCACTTCAATACAAGGGTAATAAAAAACTAGAGAAACAACATGGATTGGTATAAAGTGGAAATAGCAAACCTTCTATAATCAGGAATTCCACACTCTGTGCTTATTCCTGCTCCAGTCAGAACCATGAGATTGCTACTGCACCATAGCCAATATGCAGGAACTTATTTAGTGCACAACCAAATTCTTAAGAGCATGATAAACCATAAAACATTCCATGCCACTTGATCATAGAAATTAAAGGATTATAAGAAATATATGAAAATTAACCTTTGATCAATGAACTGATACAAAAGGTTGATATCTTTGATACTTGGAGGATCAGCCTCTGGAACCACCTTCTTGTCCCTCAAAAAATCAGTAGAAGTGTTATCTTTACTTCTTGATGTTATCCCAGGAACTGAGAGCTGGCATGATGTGTGGATAAGATTCACAAAGCCCTGAAAAGATCGGCCACTTCTTGACTTGATTGGTAGTCCTAATTTACTACTTGACTGAACTGTATCTGAGAAATTAAATGAGCTTGATGGCCCTGATATTTTTAAAATGTCATAATTGTGAAGTGGATTGTAAATTGACAATGCATGCAAGCATTTCCTTCCATCATTCTAAATTTTGTTATACTATGAGAAAAATGCATGCAAATATTGCAAAATGCTGGAAAACCCCATCACAATATGAAAAGACTTGCCTGTGTTCACTGCCCCCAGAACTTCCCTGGCACTTCTTAACTGCACGTTAAACATAGTAAAGGCTTTTACTATAATTATAAACAAGCGAAAACAGCTACAACTGTACAGTGCCAAATTTTCTAAATTCATATGAAATGGGAATAAATTAAAATGAGAAAAAATGAGAAAACAAAACCAATACTGCCTTTTTCTTTGAGCATTTGTAATTTAAAAATGAACATCACATTAAATATAACGGAAGTGTTCACCTAGCGCTTAAGATTGCAGAAATTTCTGTTACATTGTTGCTGCTTAGAAACAATAACTATTTTAATATCAAGGGTCACTTCAAAAAGGCTAGACTTGTTTTAGCTAAACTCCAAATGCTTAAAGCACAAGCTATGAACACTTCCATTAATTTTCAAGTATAGCAATGTAGAACAGACATATTTAGTAGTACCTTTGACATTTCATTTTGCCAATAGTCCGATTACATCTTGCTGCAACTACTTGTTAGCAATTACGCTACTTGCAAATGTGATATTAGTATATAATTATCATCAACAATTTCTTCCAAATAAAATTCGCTGTGCTAGAATATCCTCTTGCTCTTGAAATAAAATACAAGTACGACTTATTTGTTTTTTTTTTTCTTTTTCTGGTCAATATGTGATTCAACGGGGGAAAGAATATAATTAGAAGCATCAGGCTTATTGAAAGAGCTCAAAATCCTTGAGTATATCCTGCTTTTGACAGTTCACTAGAGATGGAGAGAATGCTTGTGTAACTTTAGATGCTTGTTCATTTGAAAGGTTGTTGGTACTTTCTCCCATGCCCAACAAAAAATAAAAGTTTAACCAGTGGTGTGGACTTCTTGAATTAGTGACACTTAACATTTTCACAATGATAACCTGGTGCACTGGCAAGACTCACACAAATAACAAAAAGGCACTTCGTGCGCAATGGAAGTTCCCCATTTCCAACATTTCAAGTTATTTTCTGTACAGATTTCTTAAGATTGGGGAACCAGAAATAACGACATTGGATCACCATCAATCTTGCCAATAATTCTACCATCCAATAGATAGATGCACAGCACATATACATGATTCTGCATATACGAATAATTTTTGTTTTGTTTAATTGGATTCAACTTTCTATTTGCAGGAAATTATTCTAATCTGAGGGAACTCTTCCTCCGCCAAGCACAGCTCGACTGTCTAGAAGAATTGCATCACTCCTTCTGTAGATTCTAATATTCATAATGGTCTTCCATTGCACATTTAAAAAAACGAAAACTCCGATTTCCACCAAGTCTATGCAGTTCCTTGCAGTCCACTACTGATAATATGTACATACCCAACTTTATATTTTTGCTGGGATTTCCAATTCCAGAAGAAAAACAATACAGCAGCATCTAATTACACTGTGAGAATCTTTAGTAGCACTATTCCTAGAATGCTTTTAAGTCAATTTTGTGTTAATTCTTTATGTTCATCTACGAGACAGATTGAGAGAGAGAGAGAGAGAGAGAGATTTTCAAACTTACAGTTTTGAATTGTCGCCAAGGTACTCGCATCATCAAAGCCATTTTTCTTCCACTTTCTTCTTGAGGTCTAAATCGTCTCTGAGCTGAGAATTTGTCTGCTTTCTTCCTTTATTTCTTTGGGTTCTGAAAAGTGAAGACAACTCCATGGACACGTTGCGATGTTTCTCGCCATTTATATTGACCGAAAGCTCTCGTCTTTACTACACACCAATGGTAAACCAGTTTCCCAATAGAGTAAGTTCTGTGGGTCCCGTCAACATAGACCATTGAAAAACGAGACATTTTGCTTTCGACCGTCTGATACAGTGGTTCAGGAGATCCTAGATTATGTGGTTGGATTTGAACCAATCTCTGATCCGATGTAAAACCGTTAAAAATGGAGGGAAGAGAGGAAAGGGAAAGGAGTAGTGATGATAATGGGGTTGTTTTCATTCTCCCCTACACCTTTGAGCGGTTGCATTGTCCCGCCGAATCATAGACCGTTTGTTACTCAAGCCTGCCTTCCAACAGAAATGGCTGAAGCTTCTCTTCCTCGGAAGGGGAAGCAGAAAGACAAGCTACTAGTTTGTGTAAGCAAGAGAGAGTTTGGTTTATGCATACTTCTGGGTTTCCCAGTAACCACTGCTTCTGCGCTTATATCTGCAGCAATGGCCGAAGAGCAGGAATTGGAGAGGTATACGGATGGCAAAGAGGGCTTCACTCTTCTAATACCTAGTTCATGGATTAAGGTCTCCCGATTTCTATCCATTTCTCTTCTGGTTAATCTTCCTGTTTTTTTTTCCTTACTAACCAATTCTGTCTTTGTTCTTCTGGATCTTAGTAGGTTGATAAGGCAGGGGCGACAGTTCTGTTTGAAGAGGTGAACAAGAGCGCAAACAATGTTGGAGTTGTGGTTAGCCCAGTTCGTTTAAATACTCTTGGAGAATTTGGGAGCCCCAAGTTTGTGGCAGACAAGCTCATCCAAGCTGAAAAGCGCAAGGTGACTGTTAATTATATGTTATTTATGGATTTTTTTTTTCTTTATGGTAATCAAAATGCTGATTTATTCCATGCTTAATTGCTTGTGCTAGTTACTACATAATAGTATTTACAGATAATGATGATGATACAAGTCTAAGTTTCTTTGGGGCAATACAAATTTGACAATGAATGTACTTGGCTAATTGTTAACAGAACCTACAATTATAGATTCTGGGAGGGACAAATAGAAGGATTAGGGAAGACAATGCACATACCCTTGATATACAACTTCTGCTATCCCAACAATTTGGAGTCAGCTATACCTATACAAATTCTGATATGCCATTTTGTTAGTCATACTTGTTTCAAGTGGCTTATTGCTACTTGCTAGTGCAGTCATGGTCTTTGAGGATACCATTAGAAGTGCTCTTAATATGTTTGACCACTTGCCATCCATATATGGCATGCTGTTGCGGTTGCATTAAAACATGTTAGTCTGGGATGAGCCATCTTATATCTTCATTTAATTTTGAGTTCCTGTGTAAATTTTCATTTAAAGCATGAATCTGGTCCCCTTACTGTGAACTTGTAATTCATATCTATTTGGTCAATCTTGGTGAAGAAAACATATATGAGAGAATTGGTCTAAGCTAAAAGCCGAATGAATGACTGAAATGAAATAGAGATGGTTATCATTTTAGTCTGGCCTAAATAAGTCTCTTCTGTCCTCCAATGAATTCTTTAAGTCCATTTGTCACTTTCAAATGAATTTGTTCAAGCATTTAACAAGTATAATGAACTTACTCTGCTTCATAAGAAAGATGTTTGGAATTTAAGTTGGTTATGCTATATAACTATTACTTCTGTGTTTATGTTGACAGCCCGTTCTTATTGGTGCATGAATTATATATCTTTCATCTAAGAGATTGGGTCTTGTTGCTACTGTTACTAATACTTTTCTTCTTTTTTCTTTCATTTTATTTATATGTTTTATATGTTCTGATTAATGGTTCATCCAAAGGTCTCAATATCTTTTTACCTTTTCTTCTGGACCCATGAGCCACATTCATTCCTACTATAACAACATTTCTACTCCCAGTGGTTCTTTGATAGGTGGCTTCTATTGTTTGATGACCAGCATTTCTCTTAGAAAATTGAAAAGTTGTCCCTGATATGGTTCTTGGAGACTTCTTATGGAGGATGATGGCAATTCTTGTTATCTTGACTAGATCCTTGGTGAATAATATTCCCTTGATGTGGTGCACTATCCAAGAGGAAGAATATAGCTTCCCATAGAAAAATTGAATGTTCAGTAAACTGTTCTAGTGACAGTTTATCTTAATGCATGAGGTATTGTTAAGGCCTAAATTTTGGTCGGTTTACAGATGCAGGGGTTCTAGTTTTAATCACTTTGGATCTTTAAGTGATCAGAAAATAGAAAATTGCTTTAGTTTTGTAGGTCAGTTTTCCAAAAATGTATTGGTTGTGGACATCCAAATGTTTCAGTCTTATTATAGTGATCTAGGAAAGACATTGACCACCATGATACTGAGATTGTTTATTTTTCCTTTCTATGTTGAATGGAATCTGAAGTTCTTGACCAATCTTATAAAATTATAGATTCATTCTTGCTATTTCAGCATTTTGCCTATGTGTATTTAAAGTGGCAAGGTGACATATTCCACTTTATTGTACAATTTGTCTTTTGTTTTGTTTCTTTTCTAGGAGGGATAAAAGTATTGGTAAGGAGAAAGGGGAATCTTATGTAGGTGTCTTATATTAAATTGGTAAAATGTAGCCTTAGGAAGACAAGTTGAAGGTTTGAATTAGGGTATTTTGGGTGTTGTCTGTACAACATCCTGAACCAAAGGATATATATATATATATAGATATATATATTGTCATTGGGGGTTTTGGGGTTTATGAGAGAAAATTTCTATTTTTTCAGAAATTAGGAGGAAAAGCTGGGGTTGTTGTTCTAGTTAAGATTATATATATATATATATATATATATATATATATATATATTGTCATTGGGGGTTTTGGGGTTTATATGAGAGAAAATTTCTATTTTTTTCAGAAATTAGGAGGAAAAACTGGGGTTGTTGTTCTAGTTGAGATTATTGTAAATTTTCACAGGGGTTCATCTGTGGATGTAAGCAACCATTGACAAACCCCATGAAATCGTTTCTTTTTTGTGTGAATGCTTGCTTGTTTTCATGGTTTATCCTGGTTGTTTTACAGGGAAGATGGGACAAAGATTGATAAAGAGGACAAGGAAATACCTCACTCATGGGGGTAAGAATATCCCCTATTGGTAAGGGAATCAACCAAATCATTATCTTAAGTTGATAGGCATGAGGTAGATCTTCAATTGGGAAGACACATCCTGGATATCTTGAATGATATGTAAAGGGAAGCTAGTGCACGAGGCTCCTGCCAATGCAGGGTCTAGGGAGGGATAGATTTATGCAGCCTTACCACTACTGATACACAGAGAGGATTTGAACCCTGGTCACCCAGGTTCCAATGGCACAACCTAATGGTTGCACCAAGGACTACCCTCAAAATTCTTCCATTCTGCTTCAATGATGATATCCATTTAGGCAGGATCGATAGATCAATTGAGGCATTTGAGAAAGCAAAGGCTTCAACTTAATTAGAATTGCACTCACTGAAAGAATTGTAGACACCCAAATAGAGACCCAATCCAGAATTGTTCCAATTAACTGTTAAAAATCTACCTTTTTTCTTTCTTCCTCTATGCTCCATAAAATTACCAAAACTGTAATTTTCCAAGTAGGTTTTATTCTTTTTTGTCCTTAGTTAAGAGTACAAGATGCTGCCTTCTAATGGAGATTGTATACTATTATTATAAGCACATGAAGAAGGCGGCTTTCAGCAACTGTCTGGTACCTTTTTCAATTTAAACTCTTGAATCGTTATTAAAGCACATTATTGGTTGTTCATGTTGCTGAGTTTATCGTATCAGCCCTTAATTTCACAGCCTAGTAATTAGAAAATGGTTCTAAAATGTTCTTGTATTTATCAACTCCTTGTTGTGTAGGAAAGTACAAAGGATGCTGAGGTGATTGGTATTGCTGAGAGATCAGGACATGGAGGCCTGCAAGTATACGAATTTGAATACAAAGTTGATAGCACTAGAGGAGGGATGAAGAGAATCTTTTCAGCTGCATTTGTGGCTTCTAAGAAGCTCTACCTTCTTAATATCACATACTCTGACCGACCAGAGAATCCTCTTGGTTCTCACACTAGAATGATGTTGGAACAAGTTCTTCATTCTTTTGATACAGCACCATCCATGTAATTAAATGGCATCGCTCATTCTTCTGATATGACATCAATTCATTCTGCTGCTTGTGCCGAATGCCCGAGGCCTAAGGGAGCACTGCTTAATTGTTGAGGAGGATAGTTGCCTGTAGGTTGCATATCAACTTATTTAATTGATGATCTTATGTTTCTACCAGCATGGGTCCTGTAATCCAAATTCCCTTGATTGTGAGAGAATGAACATTAAGTTGCCATAAACTACCGGACTCATCTCAGATGAGATCAACTAGTCCATGCTGCTGGAAACTATAAAGCCATTTGACGGTGTTACTCATGAGATAACATCCTTGAATATTTCTATTAAGTTTAACTAATTTGACCCAGGCCCATTAAATGATGGATTTTTCCCCTACTGTATAAGGTAAGTCATCCACTCAGCCCAACTTTCCAACTGGTCAGAAAGTCCCCTTACAGGCTCTATCAACTGGTCAGAGAGGATTACCTTGCAAGATCTGGCTGCTGATGCAAGGCTTTTCCTTCAGTGGCAACTGAACTAGGCTAATTTCTGCAAATTTCATTCCCTAACCACCAATCTTATAACTTGGGACTTTCTTCAAGTTTTATGTAGCAATTGCTTGTGTCCAAATTTAGCACATCCAAGGCAATGGAACTGGCATAATAACCTGAATGAAGCCAAAGTTAACTATGTTGGCATGTAAAAGGCCATTACCCAATGTTGGTCCCAGCTATTTGAGGTCTTGGGAGGGGTGGACTGGATATAGTCCTAACCTTTGGCATTTTTTTTTGCACAAAGTGGCTACTCTCAGACTCGAACCAGCATTCTCACACTCGACAGCTTGAGAATATACCATCACAAAAAGTAATTGCCCACAACTATGTTAGATGTTATTTTTAAATTTCACAACCATACCACTTGAGTATATCCCAAGGCCAGCTCAAGATATCAATTCATCCCTCTTAGTTCTTTATATGGAACCTTTAAGGCTTTAAGGACATGTCTATATGTCATGCCAGTCCTTTTTCTTATTTTTTTCAGTTATTCCGTTTGAGTTCTCTTCACAACAATTCTCAGTTTGTTCGTCATCTTTTAAAGCTGGATTCTTACCTCCACTCTTACATGAATCAATACATCCGTTCCTACCTGAACCAATTCTTTGTATGGGTAAAAAGAGATTGCTGCTCTTCGTTCGAGAGAATTTGCAAAGTTCTTCCTCAATTGGAGCCACTAATATTACTCCTCTTTACTCCTACTAGTTAAGGCAGATAGTATACTTTCCACCAAGGTTCAAAGTATCGACACGTATTGGCCTGTATCGGCCGATACGTATCATCCCAGCACCCCACTGATACGCCCCTACAGTGGATGCATCGGTGGTCTGACCAGTTCAGGGTGTGGTGAAGACCTAAACTGTCTCCCCTGAACCAGTTGGCAAAAAAAAACCACCCAAAAGGATTATCGATTTGCCTGATACGCCATACGCCCATACTGGCGTATCAGGCGTATCGATATTTTGAACCTTGCTTTCCACCATTATAAATGATGAAAGAACTAAATGCGTGTATACCTTAATCTTAGGAAACCAATATAATTTGTTTTAATCTTTATAAATATGGTGGTGTTTGGAACCAATGTAGTTTCTTTGTTTGGTTCCATTACTGTTATTTAAGTGTTTTTCATCATCACATCAGCTAACAGTTGCTAGCAATGGTAAAAAATGAGAACATCTTTTTTTATGGTTTTCCAGAGTCATCTTGATTTCCTAAGCATAGTTGTTTTTTTCAGTGATTTCCAAAAAAAACACCAACCAAACAGAGAACTGTATTCAAACCACAAAATGCTGATTTGGCACTGATGTGTCACCCATTTTAGGGAAAACTGCATCGGTCCCAGGAGACCAAATCAGCCCCCCACAACGTCCCACAGCACATCCTAGAAATGATGATGTCAAGAGGTTCCCAATACACGGCAGGATATGCTGTGGGACATTACGAGGGGCAATTTTGTGGGGGGCTGATTTGAACTCCGGTCCCAGACATATGCTATTTAAATTTTAATAATCAAATTATTTAACATTATTTTGAACGGAAAAGATTATTGCTTGAATAAGTTTTAACTTTTAAAAGATGTTGTGGCCCTTAATGTCTAAAGCTCTTTTTATTGGGGAGAGAGAAAATAACTTTATTGAAATGTTTTGAAGATTTACCATAAATGTTTTATTTATTCAATTATTTTATCCACTAAAAGACAAAGCAACAAGCCTTAAAAAAATTTATGCTGTTATGAAACAGCCCCCAAAGCTCAAATGATTATAAATAATGTATAAACACATCATTTTTTTAGTTTTCCTTTCAAAATTTCAGAATAGACTTCTTTTAATATTATTTGACTATTAAAAAATGTTTTCTTAAAATACCTTAAAAAGGCCATTTCTAAAGGTGGCCGATATACAATAAGATACACCCAATACGAGGCGTGTTGTGTTAAAACTTTGAACCTTGTTTTTCCCCCTAAAACCTAATATTTAGCGTTTTGGAACCTTGACTCAGCATACAATGAGTCAATGACCACAAATGGATCACTAGCTCAAAAAATAGTTATCTGCCAATGCCAATACCACACACAGAAGAGAGAGAGAGAGAACACCAGAAGGCCTAAATTGAAAAGCCTCCATTTTGGTGCTCAAGAAGTCAAATAAGGATTTTATTGGCATTCCTAGTTGGAGTATCAAAAGCAGCAAAAAGAAAAAAACAAATAAATAAATAAATGAAATATACAACACAAAAATGAGAAATATCATGTTTGATATTTCTATGATAAAAACAGCTCTTCAGATTCCATTGGTGAGGACCAATACCGAAATAGTGATTCCACTGTCAACCTTCGAGTTGCACTTAGCATTGAGATGAAGAATCTACATCCATCGATCTTATATTCCTCAAGTGGATTCCTATGCCCAAAACTCCTCACATTCACCTGCCAGTCATTTTATTTAAAGTCATACACACACACACACATGAGAGAGAGAGAGAGAGATCATATTTACCGCTGAACTGAGCCTGTTCATGTTTACCAGATGATCTCTCCAGAAACAATCGAGAGTCTTCAAAAGAACTGCTCTCTGTAAATCCAAGAAAGGCAAAAAGGAGTTAAAGCTTACAAAGATCAGCACAAACATGTAATCTATTTCCCAATTCCCAATATATGAAAAGTAAAATTAGATTTTGAAGTACAACTGATAGTCCTTGGAAGGAGTTTCTGTTCTTTCCTGCAGAAAGACCCTACTGTCTAAAACAAGTTTTGAAATATCACAACGTATTGGTGTGTATCAACAAGAAAACATTACCTGCTAACCTGGTCGCAGAACAACTGAACAACCCCCCAGTGAAATGTGAGCACGTCAGTGTTTGAAATAAAAAATAACTGACGTGATGTGTTGAATTTATTGCAAACACCGATGTGCTCGCATTTCACTGGAGGTATATATAAGTTTTCTGCAACCACGGTTGCAGGTAATGCAATTTCTGTACCAAACTATCAACCAATGCATATCTATTTTGAACCCACTGATATTCCTAATATAAAAAGTAAGGATGCTTCATGGTAAAAGCAATATAGCACTTATTTTCAAATAGTCAAAAATAAGTACAAGGAGAGTATTGAGACCTTGAAACACAATACAGAGATATTTTGTATCATCGGTCTCAATACTTTGAGCCTTGATCTAAAGATGCTTAGTAACAAAAAGAAAGAGTATAAAGATGCTTTAGTCTTTTTTTTTTTTTTTCCTTATTAACCAGTGCTCTATATCAATGAAATCCATAGAACCTGGGGGAACCTCAGGTAATAAGTTTAGGGATATGAAGAACCAAAGACAAAGACAGAGACAAATCTCAAAGAACCAAATAGTCTCTCTCTCTCTGTTCTGACCATATAGATTTACACATGTTGAGCTACATCTCTCTCCCAGGACCAGGCAATCCCCAGTCACTAATGTATCTCCAATACTGCTGTGGCCCTTGTTTGTTTCATTGCAGCCACTCTAATACCACCTCTGAGTTCCCTCTATACTCTACAGTAATTTTCCTTGTGTTAAGGCTCTTTGCCACTCTAAAGCGTTGCCATACTGACAATACCTTTGCCTTGATGGAGCCACCACTTCCAATTGTTCCTGAATATATAGCCATTATGCTCCTTCTGGAATATCTGAAGACACCACCAATATCTGAAGCTCCAGGGTTGCCCACACAACCATTAAAGTTTAATTTCATTTCACCTTCATGAGGTGGACTCCATGGTAAGGAAACAGTGGCCTTATGTGTGGGGAGGCTGCCTCTACACTCCATCCTCTGAGTATATCATCTCGATCAATAGAAAAAACTTCGAAAAGTTCCATTGTTTTGACCTAATACACCACTGATTTGTATATTTTCCTTCACAGCTTCTACAGTTGATTATTCTATTATTTTGATTAGCACTCTTTGAATATTCTGTTATTCCTTTCATCCCAAACCATCCATATGGCAGCAACCCTAATACTCACATGACCTTATCTCTCTTGGTAGATATGGAGGAAGAACATTTTAGGAGAGATTTGATGTCATTGAAACCAAGGTTCAAAATTTCGATATGATATAACCCATATTGGGCATATTGTACTGTATCAACAAGCCCCCAATGCTCTAAAGAAAGGGTTTTTGTGGTTTTGACCACTTTAAGGGGTAGGCAGGCCTAAGACCGACCCCCTGACCAATTTTGGGGAAAACARAAAAAAAGGGCATTTATGGTCTTGAAACATCTGATACACAAGTTTGTGCATATTTGGTGTATCGATACTTTACCTTGATTCAAACCAACCACTCCACCTGCATACTGTCCAAATTCTGCTATCAACCTCAGACTGATATAAAGACACAGAGGCAGTAGGAATTTCATGATCCATGTACCCTGGGACCTCTTCTAAACCCAAGGTTCCAGGATAATCCATTCCCAGAGGAGGAGAGGAAGTGGAAAATGGATTTATTTTTGAACAAGGAAATGAAGTAAAGATTATGGAAGTACTCCAATAAAGGTCTATTGCCCCACTAAAGACCTTCCCGCTAAAAAACTGACTTTAGGAGGAAGGGGTCTTCCTACACGACTTTGAAGGGGAAAGGTATGGGGTTTTGAGAAGGGGGGTCTTATGCCTTGTAGAGAATGCAAGAGAAGGTTCCCTAGTGTCAAGGGTTCACACTCAATGGCCCCCATCACTTTGTGTTACAAAGGCTTCTTTGATGGGTTGAGGAGGTTAGTGACTTCCCTACAATCCCCATTCACAATCTCTTAGTGTTCTTCTTAAACCCAAATCCCATAAGACGTTTCAGTTTTCAAAAGATACCATTACAAAAATAAACCTGTCTTTGGAGTTTGACAAATAAGGTGAAATCTTGGGAACAGTAAACATAATAGTCACTGATGAAAAAATAATAAAATAATGGTCCATCCGATTGTCCCCCCACCATAGGTCTTCCCAAAATCCAGTTTTATAACCTGAGGTGGGATTATACATGTTTTAATGGTTCAGTTGATTACAGTCCAGAGAACGAGAGAAAGGAGAGAAAGAAGAGAAGAAGAAAAAGAGAGGGAGAAGGAAAGAGAACTTTCGAGCAAGAGAGAATAGAAAATCTCTCCCAACCGACCTCAATTACACACACACACACACACATATATATTATATATATATATATCAGATCACAATGTCTATTATGCCCCTACTTAAGTATGGGAAATGTAACTTAAAAATAAAACAAAATTGATGAATGATGAGGCCAAAAAAGAAAAAAATATGTGAATGTATTCTGTTTTGCATGTTTTTGTAGTAGGATCCCAAATTGTTGTTTTGGGAAGCTTTGTTAACAGTTTGGGTCCAGGGGTATTTTCGTCATTTTATAATTCTGATTCTGATCAGGAGAAGTTGGGTGTACATTTGTTGGGTTTTGGTCTCTAGGGTCTTTTTGTAACAAAAGTTATCTTTTGGGAGGTTGGTTTGAAGTTAGTTTTGTTCTTAAGGAGTTGTTTGTGAAAGAAAAACATTCTAGGGGTTTATGTGTAAATATTTTAGCTACCTTGTCCAGCAAGCTAGTGAGTCTTATAAAAGAGGAGGGGGTTGTTGTTAGACAGTGTATGCCCTTAGCTCCAATCAGCATGATGTACATTATGACATTTATTGCAAATGAATAAAGTACATATTTGATTCATGTTATTGTGGTGTGTTTCTGTGTAATACCCTTAAACTGGACACATATGAGACTCGTGTTASTTTARAAYMTTYACARCCRTWRGATAGATCTGGGGAGATTTATCCTGCCAAGGCTGACACTAATGTACTGCCAAGTTGGTTGGGGTGGCTTGTCTCAGCTGCCAGGGTGAGACCTGAGGTACATGCAGTGTGGGTTTTCTTGAAACCCTGAACCAGACCAAATTCCAGTATTGCCCTGGACCTTGGAGACAGATGAGCAAAACTGGAATGTTACACCTGACCCCTAGACTCGATTATGGTACTGCACTAGGTGTCGGATTGGGCTGTCTTTGATATGCCAATCAATGAAATCCTTAGCGAGGGTCAAAACCTGAGTATGCTGGGACAGTCCGAGAATTCATCTGAGTGGGTGATCATAGTGACAGGATCAGCCCCTTTGTCAGACAAAGTGAATGAACGGGGAAATGCACTCTCTCTGATGGAAACCTAAACTGTCGACAGTGGATTTCAAATGTGTTTGAAATTTGGTTTTGCAAAATATATTTATATAGAGATATACTTATATATTATGGTTTCACAAATTGTTTGCAAAAGGTTTTAATTCCAAGGATCCATGTGAGCAGAGAGTGCAACATTGTACCTTGCAGCCGAGGGAGAGGTCCTCTCTTGTCGGGCAGTGCTTGATCATTAAGGGCTGAGAGGTTAAGTGTAAGACCATTGAGGGTTATACCTGATTGGCTAATCTTGCATCTGCCCACAGTCCTTGGGCCTTCATAAGATGGCTGGACCCGAGGACCATTTAGTGTAAATGTTGGGCCCATTAAGAGTCCATGGTGATGGACTCAGGGGTTCACTATATTTAATAGAGAAATCGGCCAGGCCTTGTAACAAAGGCTAGGTTGAACCCATGTGGCTGATGTGTAGATCAATGATAGAGTCCCACGCCATACAAAGAGAGCCAAGCTAGCCAGCATTAAAAGAAAGTGAGCCTTAAAGCTTAATGGGCCTAAAGCCCATTTCAAACTAAGTTAATTGGATTAATTAAATAGGGGCGGATCTGGGTTTGGATCAACAGATAAGGATAAGAGGATAACTCTTATCCACTTAAAGAGCCCAGATCCAAATAGAAATTTGGATCAGGGAACTCCTAATTTGATTAGGAATAAGCTGATCTTGAATTGCAGATAAGATAAGGGATTATCCTTATCACTTAAAGAGTTCAGATCCAAATAAAGATTTGGATCAAGAGACTCCTAATCAGATTAGGAGGTTGTCTCTTTAAGGCTATAAATAGAGAGCAGGGCGAATCTGAAAAAGACACTCAAACATTACAGAAGACAACTCAGTTTGACTGACTTTTGCCTTTAGTTCTTTTTCTCCTTGCTCTTGCCGCTCTACCTTGTTCGATCTCCAATTCTTGAAACTGATCAAGATTTGATCTTGATATTGTTTCTTGCTAGAAGAAACAATTCTGAAGTTGTGCTCACTACCCCATTCGATTCTTGTTGAAGAATCAGAGGTTCTTGGTGAAGAACTACCTATTGATCCTGCTTCATCCTAAGCTGTGTCATCTTCAGTGGAGGGAGGATTTGGTACACTCTTTGGGCATGAACACCTGTGTTAGGAGGAGCTTTTTGCGTGGATACCATATCAAGTATATCCCTCCCTAATCTTGGTTTCAGATTTGGTTCGGTTTGGTTACAAGAACAAACCTTGAAAATGCAGTTTTCTAAATTGGGAATACAATTCTCGGATGGGAGTAAAGAAATTTTTGAAATTTCGCCCAACCTTCCTACAGGGTTCGGCCATCCATATGATGGATCTCCTATCCCTTCAGTTGTTTCTGTGGAGGTCTTTTTTTGTTCTTTTTCTTTTGTTTGAGCTATATCTCAGCCCCAACTAGGGTTTTTCAAGTATTGGGAGCTTGGGTTTTAAGGAGTTGACCCATTTTGGCACCTTCCAATCCCTCTATCATTGTGTCTGCACGGGAGACCAGCTTGCTATCATTGTTACTGTAGCAGAACTGTTCCAAGAAGAGTTTTACTTCAGGTTTAGGTTTGAAATCCCTAAAAATCCAACTTATTTTGTTGTTTTCAGCTTGGTATTTCTTGTGCTTATTATTGTATATTTGAAGTGTTGCATGTAATTTGTTTTTCTGTCCATATCAATAAAACATAATTTAATATATGAGGAAAAGACAGAAATACCCCTACTTAGCCGTCTTTAACATTCCCCCTCAAGCTAGAGAATATATGTCTAGTCCCTACTTGTTACATATATAATTCACTCTTCCTGAACTCAACCCTTTTGTAAACAAGTCTACCCATTGATCACCTGAACTCACATGCACTGTGTTTATCACTCTAGTAAGGACTTTCTCTCTTACAAAGTGGTAATCAACCTCTATGTGTTTTGCCCTCTCATGAAAGACTGGATTAGATAAGATGTGGATTGCAGATATACAAATCCACTCTATGGATCTAAAGTGGTACAAACAAATATACACAAGAAGTAGTGATAATGGAACGGAAACCTCCAAGGCCAAACAAACTGAAATTAAATTTTGATGGGAGCTCTTTTGGTAATCCGGGGAGGGCGGGTATAGGGGGAGTTTTCAGAAACCATCAAGGTGCAGTTGTGGCCTTGATCTCTAGGCCAATTAGATTTGGCGACTCAGTTAAGGCCGAGACAATGGCTCTCTTACAAGGACTAAAATTGGCAACACAGATGTGTATTAGAGAGATTGAAGTGGAAGGAGATTCTTTATTGGTTATTTCTTGGGCAAAACAAATTATTTCAGCTCCTTGGAGATATAAATTTGCCTTCAGGGAAATTGACTACCTTGCAAAAAGTTGTAACACTAGCTTTGGATGGGTAAAAAGAACAGCAAAATGGACTGGCAGATGTTCTCGCAAAACAGGGAGTATGCAGATCCACTCTATTTTGGGCAATGTTGTAATCTGTAATAGTAAAAAGGGGGCATGGTAATCAGGGTGGCCAACTGGTTTTTGCTGTGTCTAGGCTACTGTGTAGCAAGGATCTATAATTTTTTTCAAGCATTAATAAATAACTCATTTTGTTGATCAAAAAGAAAGGTGGGCCATGTAAATCATAATGGAAATTAACTGTGTCCTTCCATTCCACAATGCATACACTTCCTAGGAGTGCCACCTTGTCCTCTACCACGGCCTCCCCCTTAGTCATGACCTCTTCCTCTTGCTACAACAAACACTGATATGTTAGATGTTGTGGTACTCTTTGTGGGTCCTAGAGAAATCCTACGAAATTGAGCAAACACTTCCTCAAGAGTAGGAAGGACAGATCCATCCAAAATTTTTGCTCTAATTGGTTCATACTCTAACTTCAGCCACACCAAGAACCTGGTTATATCAAGTTGTTTCCTCTGTTATTGCTGAATTTTGACATCTGAAGTAAAGGGATGATAGACATTGAATTCATTCCCCAGATTTCTCATACTGGCATAATACTCTTCAAGGGTTTGATTTCCCTGCTGCAAACTAAAACACTCCTCTGGTAGAGTTGATATACTCTTGTAGTATTGTCCTGTCCAGAGTAGAGTTTCTTAGCATGATCCCATATTTCCTTGGTTGTATCTAAGAACATAAAGTTGACACTTATCTTGAGTTCCGTACTATTCCATAACCATGTCATAATTTGAGCATCATCTTGCTCCTAATCACTAAACCCTAGGGATTCAGCCAATGGATTCTCCTCCTTCACATGTTTCACTTTCTTCTTAGCCCTAAGAAAATCTCCATCGACTTGGCCCATGGCATATAATTTTCACCATTAGTTTAATTGATGTCATCTGCACACTTAGATAATCTGGGGGAATCATCACACTAGATTTTTGATCACCAACAACATCTCCAATTGCTACCATCATGTTCTCAACTCACAAAACTATCAGTACCCTTTCTAATAATTATCAACCCAAAAAAAAATATACTGCTGTTATTTAAACATTACAGCAGTCCACTCACCACCTTACAGCACTTTTTCATCCAACCAGAATGAGAATACTACCATTCTGGTACATTCATCCATCTTCTTCATCACCCAAAAAAAAAGGTCACAACTACTACTAGCACCGATACTGTCAACGGGTTAGAAAAACCCCTCTTGAAACTTCTCAGTAGAGGGTTCAAACCACCATATACACCACCACATTTTTTTTTATCAGTAACAAAAAACTTTATTAATGATGTGAAGTTTTGTGAAGCTTTAGTTACAATAGGGGGAGGTAAAATGTCTTAACTCCCCACCAACAAGATACAATGGAAGAAAGTTAAAAATTAGCCCAAAACAGAGACTCCCTATTCACCCCTTTCTTGGCCAGCCCATCTGCAAATGAATTAGCAGTCCTCTTCACCCAGCTGTATTGTATCTCAATGTCCCTACACAGCCAATTAAATTTTTTCATTTCATTGCTATAGCTCCACAAACCACTGCCTTCTTCCTTTAGCCAACTAATCACTCATGGTGACAGCAGCCCTGGGAACCCCAGAATAGGGCTGCCGCAGTTTTCTATTCCCTCTAACTCAGATCACAGCAGTCCTCGAAACACCAGAATAGGCTGTCGCAGCCTTCTATCACCTGTAACTCAGATCGCAGCCCAGAAAAAGAAAAAGGAGTAATCACAGCACCAGAAACTTGAAATCGCAGTCCTGTTTTCTCTTGTTTATGGCTCTGATACCAAGTTTTAATGGTTCAGTTGATTACAGTCCAGAGAAAGAGAGAAAGGAGAAGAAGAAGAAGAAGAAGAAGAAGAAGAAGAAGAAGAGAGGGAGAAAGAGAACTGCCAAGCAAGGGAGAATAGAAAATCTCTCCCATCCCAGCCGACCTCATATTATGCCCCTACTTAAGTATGGGACATGTAACTTAAACTAAAACAAAACTGACAAAACACAATTCAATATATGAAGAAAAGACAGAAATACCCCTACTTATCCAACTCTAACAATACACTATATGCTAAATGTAGGGAAAATTGCAGAAACTACTTTCTAGACTAGCATCCCAAATCCCAATCATTACCTTGTAGTCCTTATTTGCTTTATTCACCAATCCAGTTTTCTGGGTTTTCTAAATATTTTCAATTATTCACCACCCAAATCAATCTGATTTGACTTGAGAACTTGTTAATATTTTCTGTGTTTCTTTGTTTAGAAAACATCTACAAGTATTCATGCAACTACTGATGTCAGTCTCATTATTGCAATCAATAGATACAATGTGTCAAGCATGTCTAGGTATCTGGTGTCCCAGAATATAAATGACATAAATTGGCACAAGTTGCAAGAACTGCATAATTGCAATTCAACATAAGTGTGGAAAAAGCAGGGAAAAATATGATGTCTTTCTCTGAAGGAATGATCTCAAATAACTATATATTCTTCATCAGCAAAAAAAGTAAGCCTTAGATGTTCATATTATATATATATATATATATATATATATATATATATATATATATTGATCAAGAAAGGAATTTATGAAGCTTCAACTCTTGAGCAAGAGTAGTCAACAAAGAAAAGAAACTAACCTCGATTTCTTTAATGTAGGCATCATCATAACCAGATTCTTGTACAACATCCAAATAAGAAGCAATCAAAAAGTCTCCAAGGTATTTGCGGAGAAGATTAGTAATTCCTTTGTATCTGCCATTCCTGCACTTAACAGATCATAGGGTTCCCCATGGGGCATGTAAAGATAAAGAAACATTTCCAAAAATTAAAATATAATAGCATGATTTACTCACTTCATTGAATCATCAGTGAATATGGCAAGCCAACGTTTTAAAGAAGAACTTTTCCTGCGGATTCCCCTAAAGGCATTCGGAGGCATTGGCATATTTGGGAGGGAAAAGCTATCAATCTCTATAGAGCTTAATTCATGTTGCTTTTCAAGTGAATCTAGTAAAGCTTCCTTAGTCAAGCCTGCAAATGAGTCTAGAGAAGTTCGATTTTATGAGGATACATGTATAGGAATCTTTACCTGTCTCATCATCATTTATAATTTGGCTAGCTAATAGAAAGTACTAAAATCACATCCCATAAGATGAACTCACCATTCAATATCTTCCCTGCAAGTCCAATAAACTCGTGCAAGAGCTTACCCAAATTCCAGCTGCTTGGATGCTGGGAAAAAAAGAGAATACAAGAAGAATTTGTGAAAAAGAAAAAGAGCATCAACAAACAGTACTCTTAGGGATCAGCTTGGACCCTTCAAAGAAAAACAGTATTCTCAGGGAAAGTTTCAAATACCTTCAGTGTATCAACATTTCCAAAGACAATCTCATCCACAACTGCTTGCATGTATCTACAAGTTATTTTTTTTTTCTTTAGTTCATCTCAAAAAGGGCAAAGAAAATAGAAAAATAAAAGGAAAGAAAAGTAAATCTACATATTAATATTTTTATAGACTAAACTAAGTAACATTTTTCTACAGAATTTTCCTTTTGAAAATTCTGGTATATATTCCCTCTTTGTTTGAGAGAAAAACAAGCAAATAAATAAACTAACTTTTTATACATAACAAGTAAATAAGTATCATAAATAGTCATATTTCATCAATAAGGCTACAAATGGCCTTAAATTGTAGTTATATGCATTATAATGGTGTGAGGAACCATAATCAACCAAGTTTCATGAACAAGGTTGTAAATGGTTTTCCCCCACACATAGGTTAATATGTTGTGAAGAACCATAATTAGCCAAGTTTCATGAACAAGGCTGTAGATGGTTCTCTCCCTCACATATGATTAAACATGGTTTAAAATTTTTCAAAGGCACTGAAGGTAATATAACAAAGGTCATTTTTTGTGGTAAATCACAATCTGCATTTTTTCTGGTTGGGAGAAAAGCATATTAGTCGCTTTACAGAATATGATGGTTCAGCATTGTGTTTTGGAGATTTCCAATATTACCATTCAGGTAGAGGAAGATGAAATTTCAAAAGTCCTCTCTTTATGCAGGAAAATTATCTGTCTATGGTGCCTTACATAATCGGGGATTGGTTGTAGGGTCATCTCAGTTAAATGATAACAAAGGCAGTCGTAGCCAAGACAAAAAGAGGCACCCCAGCAAAGGCAATCATGACCAGATATCAATTTCTACATTTTCAATTTCAGTAGATTGAAATGGCTATTCTGATCAAATGTTGTGGTATCAATTTCCTCAAATATGTTTCTAATCAAATGTAGTTTCTCTTCATGACATTAGGCATATTTGTTAAGAGTTTGAAATGGCTATTCTGATCAAATCATATGTAGTATGGTACCAATTTCCTCAAATATGTTTCAAATCAAATGATTTTTTCTTTTTGTTATTTAAAAAGTCTTAGAAGGAAGAATGTTATATAATTAGCCCATGGACACATGCATCTGTTGTTAAAAGGAAGAAAGTGGAGAACTTAAAAGGCAGCAGTACCCCATAGGCCTATACAAGTCAACTATGGCAAGAGAATCAAGAAAACATTATTTCTAAATCTCCACATTAAGCATACTCTTTAGACATTGGGTAGCTTCAAATATTTGAAAAGGAATATAGTATTTTAAAACATAAACAGAAATCAGCAAGAAATTCTACATATCATTTGAAAGTCATAAATCGTCATCTAATCCTTGTCCTAACTATAGTGGATCAGCCCAGGAATCCTGTTTTGCCATTCCATTCTGTTCACTGCCATATTCATCATTAAATTATAAGCACTTAAGTCATTTCTTACTACTTCAAACCATGCCCTTTCTAGTCTGCCCCTAGCTCTTCTAGCCCTATTGACTTGTAATATATCATTTGAAAGTCTAATGCAAACTTGAAATTAGCACAGTAATAGATGATAGTAGTAGAAAGGATGGGAGTGCTGAGAACCAAGGAACTCACTGGAAAATGTGGTGAGAACAGCTTTCAGAATCATCTGTCAAAATCAGTTGCCTAAGGTCATAGACATGCTTCCTTTGAACCTAGTAAAAGGAAATCAAGAATCTTCAGTCAAGCAACATGATATGAGTAAGTTGAAATGCCAAACTTCAGAATTTAAGATTTTGGCATAATTTTTGTTCTCAAAATTGGAAAAAAAAAATTAACATAGTGGCTAACTGCAAAATTGTGGTGATTCCAGTGAAAAATATATTAGAGTAATTTCAGTGTAAAAGTATCAATGTACCATTGATGTTTACCATCAAATGTAAGGATTTTAAATGTATCTGTCATACCTTGACAAAGTAGACAGAACAAAAAACACCCTATGGGAAATAGCTTAATATTCAAAGTCTCAACATCCAACAGAAGCAATCCAGTGAATGTGGTGTAATTTTCAAATATGTACCTCTAATACTTCATCAAACTCAACCAGGCTTTTTCTTATGCCGAAGAAGTACTTTTCCGCATTTATTTGCAAAGCCAACAGCTACAGTATTTAAGTGGTTTAGATTGTCAACAAGCTTATCTCTTCAACCAAAGATGTGAAGAATAAAAAAGTTGCCGCATGCATAGGTTTGAAGAGCACCTGTTTTACAATGGCATTGCCTTCAATTGGTATATCCTCATCATTTGTAATTTTCGATATGAGTCTCACAGCCCACTCAGTGTCAAAATTGAACTTTTGAAACATCTCATCCTGTAAGCTGTTCCATAAATAGATAATCTTCAAACTAGCTTAGAGATTCCATTTTGGACTTGAACTAAAAATTAGCAACCATGTAGAATATTTGGACCAGAAATTAACAGACACGTAGAGGAGCAATTGTACCCTTGTAAATTTTAATTTTTAGGACTAGAAGTTACTTAATCACCTAAATTTCTTTTAAATGGAAAGTTACATCATTAGGTAGGACAAATATAGGGAACCAAGGACAATAATGTTTTAGAAGAAATTCCAAGTGTTTGTAAATCTACTAGGCATATTAAATTCAAATTCTTAAACAAATCATGAGAAAACCAGCACCTGACCATGAACCTTGTTGATCCTGGATCACCTTGTCTACCTGCTCTCCCACGAAGCTGCATATAAACAATAAAATAAAGTTTGTTATTAGAACATTTAAAACATAATATGCAGTAAGAAATAAAAACAAAAATAAAAAAAAAAAAGATCAACTGACCTAGGAGAAAGAATATAGCTTCTTCTATATATGTAGGCACAAATTTTCATTAACATACATAATAGGAAGAAGAAAGAACAAATGAATTAAAAAACTATAGAACAGAAAATTATGATTTATTTGTTGAATATAATCCTAAAACATGATGGTAATCATTTTATTGAAAAAGGGAGCATTATTAAAAGAGAACTGGTACTCAAATATAAGGAAAAAAACTATAACTCATAAAAAGAAATACACAAAAAAGCTAGCTTTAGCAAAATTGCATCACAGTGGTTGTTTCAATTCACAGCATATGCACCAGAGCTGCTATATGCTGGACAGTTTGGAAAGAACGGAATCAAAGGGTATTCCAAGATAAGGAAAGAAGTTTAAATGCAATTCTGGAGGTTGTTACAGTTAGAGTGATGCAATGGGTGAAATGACTGAAAATGTTTGAGGATATTCCAACAGGGCTGCTGCTGAATAACTGGGAGAAAGTGGCAAAATCAGCTTCATGAAAAGATGTCTGTAATCCATTGTGGTCTCCACCAGCTGAAGGGTTTATAAAGCTAAGTTTTGATGGAAGCAGTGAAGGTAATCTCAGGCCTTCAGGTATTGGAGATGTATTCAGGAATGAGGAAGGACAAGTTTTGACTTTATTTTCTGAGTCAGTTGGTGTAGGTGACTCTCTCAGGGCTGAGATGTTGGCTGTTTTGGAAGGATTAAAAAGAGCAAAATAATTAAATTTTCACAACCTAATCATCATTGAAGGTGACTCCAAGATAGTTATTGGCTGGCTGGAAAAGGATGAGAATGGCCTATGGGAATATGCAAATGAAAAAAAGAACTTCAAATGGCTACCAAGGGGTATGGTAGCAAGACTTCAATGGGTCAAAAGGAGCGCTAACTCCTTTGCTGACGCCTTAGCTAAGCAGGGGGTGGGAAGGGCTCAATCCTTGTGGGCTTGCTTGTAAATATTTATGGTTTTGTTTCTGTTGTTCTTGGAGAGGGTTTAGAGAGCTTACCCCTCTCCTTGGAGGCTGTAATTGTCGCTTCTTGATCTATTAATAAATTTTCTGTTATTGATCAAAAGAACAGGTTAACCAGGGTCACATTTTCAAGCTATTATAAGATTGAACATACTCTATGAGGAAAGAGATAATGTCCACAAAAGTATTAGGAGTTTTTTTTTTTTTTTTGAAAAAGGGTAAAGTATAATTGTATTAAGTATCAGCAAGTGTATACATGGTCCTTTGTACAAAGTGTTTCTGTACAAATAAACATGGACCCCCCTAAAAAATTCAATTACAGGAAAGAGGATGAGATAACTTCCCCTTTAAAACAATTAAAGAGTGGAAACCCAACTTATCATTTCTATAGCAGAGTTGATTGCTACCTATCCAGATTCCATCTCTGCTCAAAAATTCTAGAATTTCTTTCTAACCAAATGGTCCAAAAAACTGCTACAAGAACATCTTCCCAGCAGAACCATCCTCTTTTAGTCATTCATGGCAATATAGTGCCTTAATTGAAGCAGGACAGCACCAATTGAGGGGGAAAGCCTTACAAAAATGGTATCAGGTGTTAGACAGTGTATGCCCTTAGCTCCAATCAGATTAATGTACAGATACATTTATTGTAATATGAATAAAAGTACATTATTGTTTCATATTAATATTGGTATGTTTATGTGTATTTACCCCTTAAACTGGACACTTATGAGACTCATGTTAATTTAGAATGTTCTCAGCCGTTGGATAGACTTGGGGAGTTTATCCTACCAAGGCTAACACTAATGTGCTACCAAATAAGTTGAGGCAGCTTATCTCAGCTGCTAGGGTTACACCCGAAGCACATACAGTGTGTGTTTGGATGAAACACTGAACCCAGACCATTTTCCAGTTATGCCTTGGACCTTGGAGATTGATGGGCAAAACTGGAAAGTTACACATAACCCTAGACTTGATTATGGTACTACACTAGGTATTGGATTGGACTATCTTTGATATGCCAATCAATGAGATCCATTAAGGGTCAAAACCTGAGTATGTTAGGGCAGTCTAAGAATTCACCTGAATGGGTGATCATAGTGATAGGATCGGCCCCTTTGTTGGGCAAAGTGGATGATAGGGTTTACACTATCTCTGATGGAAACCTAAACTATCGGTAGTGAATTTCAACTGTGTTTGAAATCTGTTTGCAAAATGTTTTAATTCTTAGGATCCATCTGAGCAGAGAGCATGACATTGTACCTTGCAGTCAGGGGAGAGGTCCTTCCCTGTCGGTTTGTTTGATTTCAAATCTGGTCCGGTTCAGTGTAAGATCGATCCAGAAAATTCAGTTATCAAATTCACTGAAAAATCGGTTCCCGTAAGGATTAGAAAAATTTTGAAATTTCACCCAGCCATCTAGCATCGTCCGGCCATCCATATGATGGATTCTAAACCCTTTTAACACCAGGTTCTAGTTGAGAAGGTGCAAAATATGAAAAGATGAGATGCTGTTTCAATCTCTTGCACATAGGACAGAGAAGGTCAAGTATGTTCATACCCTTCCTGGCTACCATATAATCAAATATCTCTCCCACACCACCAACCAAGCAAAGAATTTGACCTTAGAAATTGCTAAGGTACCCTAAATGGCCTTATGACTTATGAGGCAAGGAGCATCCCATTTCTCCTAACAATCCCCAATAGAAAGATCTAATTGTAAAGATGCTAGACTTGGTCCATCTCCATCTTCTGGAATCTTGGTGTAGCAGATTAATTTGCTGACTTAGAATTAAGGCTAACAGAGTTGTCACTTGCTATATCTCCAAATCATTGAAGTTTCTTTCAAATGAGGGGTAAAAGAGATCCCATATATGATTCATCAAAAAAAAACCCGAAAAAAAAAAAAAATTCTGTAGGAGAAGATTTTTTTTCCACTTTCAAAGGTCCTCCAGTTTTTCCCTTCCAAACGATATTGATACTTCCTCAATAGCAATTCTTCAAGAGCCTTGTGGCTTGCGCATTGAAGTTCAAACAGAAAAAGATATTGATAGTTACTAATTATCAAGTATGCCCCCATCTGAAGTTCAAACAGCAAATTTCTAAGCACAAATAAAAGAACAAAAGTAAGCTTTACAGAACAGTTGATCCAAAATCACCATCAGTTGTCAGTTATATTCTTATGACTGACCTGGTTATCTATTCTCCGTGACTCATGCAAAGATGTCCCAATAACGTGAAGCCCCCCTAACCTTTTAACTTCAGAACCTTCATTGTAACAGTGTGCTTCACAATCCTTCAACACCAACAGATAAGCATATGCTATGGTAGGACCAAGAGGATACATATCAGACTGTTCAGCCAAAAGATTTTCTAGATCTTGCATACTCATTGATTGACTCATCTCTATGGACTCTGATATCATAGTCTTTGCCTCCTCGTATGTCCAGCCCTTTCCTTCACTTTTGGATACATACTTCGCTGAATAATTTATATTTGAGAAAAAGAAAAGGAATTGATTAATCCACATAAGAGTTTGTTAAAAATAAATTGTATCTAAAAAGACTCTAGATAAAAGTCAAGCCTAATTTACAAACCCAAAAGAGCTGTCTTAGCTAGCAAAGCTAATGATGATGGTCCAATCTTAATTTTTGATAAACTCTGCATCACAAAAAATAAATAAATAAACCAAAATTGAAAAGTATTCCTAAATCAGTTGTTGACAACATCTTGTAATCACCTTCTGTGAAATTGGATCACCATCAATTTCAACATTTGGAGCCTCTTGTGTCAGAAATGACAGTAAACTATCCTCTATTACTTCCTTCGCAAGCATCTTCAATTATCAGATCCAGAGAGAAAGATGTTACTTACTTTTTTTTCATCAATAACAGAAAATTTTTATGAAAAATATGAATTAAGTACAATAATGATGAATTCACAATAACAGAAATTATCAGATCCATAGAGATGTTACTTTTAAGAAGCAAATAGTGATGAACTCACAATATTAGCTTGAGAAAGAGTCCCCTAAAAAGATCTAAGAAAAAAGAGGAAAATTTCATTTTAACGGATGAATCTTCTTATGCCGCATCATCTAGGTCATGATCATCCATCACTCCTATGAGTTAACAAGCAACTGTATGTGACTTGCAGTGAAAAAATGTGACTGTAGGTGACAGAAACCACCAATTAATCTAAAATGTCAGCTTAGGGCTCAAATGAGCACATATTGAGAAAGTGAACTTACTTTTGGGTTTCCACCCAGGATTATGTCAGTGCCTCTGCCTGCCATATTAGTGGAAATGGTAATGGCATATTTTCGACCAGCTTGGGCAACAATTTCAGCCTCTCTTGCAGCATACTATCATGAAAAGGAAACAGAAAAGATGTATAGGTAAAAGAAAATTACATGAAGAATAAAACAAATGTAACCAAACCACTTTCTATTCAATTAAAGAAGTAGACATCAAATGACAAGTTTGTAATACATTTTTTGTGATAAAATAAAAAAGAAATCTGAAATCTGTTATAGAAACAAAGATTGAAGAAAAAGATAATGAAGAGAAGAAGATTGTGGAGAAACTGTCTTGGAGGTCATGTGCTTCCCATTTCTCTATCTATATGATATGGTGAAAATTACAAGTATACAAAGTAACACAGAACGTAAACAAAATGGAATATGAACAGCACCAATATAATAAAATAAGCATCTCAACAGTAATGAATTGAATTGCTATAAACCTTTGGCCGTGCATTAAGGACATTATGAGGAATTTTCCGTTCCTTCAGCAAATCAGACAAATACTCAGAATTCTCCACACTGCATCCAAATGTGGTGACCATACTCAGTAATAATGAAACAAAAGATGCTATGTGCACACTAAGCAAATATCTTCCACATGAAAAGACAAGTATAAGATGACAATAGCATGACCTGAACTTAATGAGGTTCAAAGCTTAAGCCCTCATAAGAATAACATATAGTGGTTGAATGAAACACCCCAAAAAGAAAAATGTAAATCTCCTCCATATGAACAAGGAAATGGAAAATGACCTTATTAATTCCCAGAACTAATAAGTCACCCTTGGAGAAATGAAATATAATACTTGAAATGAATAAACCAGAGAAAGATAAAGAATATAAAAGTAAAAGTAAATCTAAGGAAAAGAAAAAAAATGGACCCAATAAAAATAAACCAATAAACCAATGTTCATCCCAGCTATTTGGGGTCATGGGAGGGGTGGACTGGGTATGGACCTAACCCTTGACTCTTTTTGTTGAATCTTTCAAATGAATTCAATTCTAAAAAAAAACTAAGAACTATTGGGAAAATGTTATTCTGAAGACAAAATAAAAAGTCATTAAAAATAAAGAAGAGATTACAAGAAAGGTGATAAGCAATCGCCCGATAGAAGAGAGAAACTTCCAAACTCCACCCAAAAAACTACCCTAGACACCACATGTAAGGTACAAAAGACCCTCTGACCAAATTTAATCCATACTCCTATCTCAACCCTTTACAAATAAGCAAAAAACAAACAGAATCCAGCTGAAACCCAACAAATCCACTAGCCCAAAACCCAAAAAGAAATAACTGGGCACCCAAAAAAACTCCACCCCAACAACCGACCTAGACAGAAACACAGAATTACTTATTATAGCTTTACAAACTTTAGCAAGGTCTCCTTTACTTGTTTTAATTGATCTCTTGGACTTCTACACCACTTTGTTTGCAGCCACCCCAAACAAACCCCCTTTCAATCTAGCAAAAACCTTTGAAACCTGAATTTGATGATGGTTCTTTTGGCTGCTGAAGTGCCTAACAGCATTAGGGGCGATCTCAGCTTCCTTCAAACTCCCATTGCAATCCTTTCCTCTCTGTCTCCAAGCCGTAACACCCTTCTTGTCCCCATCAACTCCAAAAGGAGCCACATTTTCTCGGATCTCAAAATTGTTCAAATTAACACCATCAACTGCTAAATTAGATTTCTCTTCCCCGACTATCTTCCTTCAAACTCCCATTGCAATCCTTTCCTCTCTGTCTCCAAGCCGTAACACCCTTCTTGTCCCCCCTCAACATTGTCCCCATCAACTCCAAAAGGAGCCACATTTTCTCGGATCTCAAAATTGTTCAAATTAACACCATCAACTGCTAAATTAGATTTCTCTTCCCCACCTAAGAACAAACCCAAGGTTTTACTAACCTCCACCTCCATATTTACAACTTTTTCAATGTCAATCAGATTCTCAAGTGAATGAGTTTCATCAATGCACACTTCATCCTCACTATCTACCTCCAACTCTGACTCAACCTCCTCATCTTCAACCCATTTCTTGCAACCGTCTGCCCCTTACCCCACATCCCTTTATAACTACAACCCAAATTCACATAAAACTTTCCTAATCTGTCTAAATCCTACTTCAACTTCAGGGCCAGGAGACTGGAGACAAATTTTAACCAAAAAATGGAAAAGACTCACTTGACCTCTGGGGCAACCTATCTGAATAAACAAACCAAAATTAAACAAAAAAAAAAATCCTACACCACCCCTAGAGAAAAGTTTGGAATTTTAAAAGAAAAGGATGAGATGCATGTTTTATTAAAGCATCGTTAGTTTCATAAAACATAAATTCACTGCAGACCACCCCAAACAAAACCTAGCCTTTAATGCAAGTTCATCACATTGACAAATAACTCTTGAAGATTTACCTTGTGGTCCCAACTAAAACAGGACGACCCTGTCGAAACATGTATTCAACTTCCTCTCGAACATTTTCCCATTTGCCACGAGCAGTCTAAGGCAATATACATTTTACTGCATGTTAAATTCACAGAAAAAACAACCAACTGGTAGAGAGAAAATTATTAATATGAAATTGCATTCCTACCGCAAAAGCTTGAATAGGTAAATCTTTCCTAATATTTGGTAGATTTGTGGGAACTTCAATAACTGGCATCTGGAACATTTTCAAAAATTCTTTCTCCTGCATCAAAAAACATTTGAATGTTGGAAGAAAAGAATAATGCATGAGAATATTTAAGAGATAAATGAAGAAATATCATATAAAAAATCACATAACTCCATACTTCTGTCTTTGCAGTTCCAGTCATTCCTGAAAGCTTTGGATATAGTTTAAATAATGATTGATATGTTATTTGTGCCACAACAACTGAATCAGCCTAACGAATGCACAAAAGCCACTGGTGTTAGTTGGATTAGTTAAACTAGGGTTTTATTCTACAAATGAGAAAGAAAGACCAGAAGCCCATATTCTACAAATACAGAAGAGAGCTTATAACACCAAAATCAACTTTTAGACATACCTGAATCTTCAGACCCTCTTTAGCCTCTACTGCCTGGTGGATACCCTCGGACCATCTCCTTTTTTCTTCAACTCTCCCTGTCAGCTGCAGAGGTTTTTCTCCTTAGAAATTAAGAAATTTCCATTTGCCTATTCTACATAAGATTATTAGAGATGAAAAATACTGAAAATACCCATTTTTCATAGTGATGAATTATACAAATCCCTAATGAAATCATGCAAGTAGAACTTCTGCATCAATAAAATTTTGAGTCGGTTCTTTCTTGTGACTAGAAGATAAAATCTTTAAAAGATCTTTTAGAGTATAAGAACAACAGCATTTTATCCTTGTCAAATATCACACAGTAATTATTTGAAATTTTAATATAGAAAGAATGCAATTTCAGTCAAACAAAAAAATATCTATTAAGCTATGATGCCAGAGATGGGTACAGACACAGATACAGAAAATGGTGATATGACTCTCCATTTCCTAAAATTTTGGACATGGATATGGGTTTGCTATCCCATGTAATATGCTTATATCATGTATTTATATCTAGTTTGAAGCTAAATATCATTTCTCAAGACTATGTCTTTCCAAACTTGATTAAATTTCTAATATGTGCAAATATTTGTATAGTATAATTAACATTTTTTTTGAAGAATAAGATAAAAATCCATTAGAAAAAGAAAATAGAATACAATAGGAAGGTGATAAGACATCAACCAAAGAGGAAACAAACCCTAAGAACCCAACAAGGATCTCAAAAGTCCCATACTAAAACCCATAAAACCAAAACTGGCGAAACATAAAGCTTTTCTCAAAACAATCTCAAGCACAAGCCAAGAAAACAAACCAAGAAATCCCCATAAGAGCAAAACATCCAAACCCACCCCTAAACAGAAACTTAAACCCTCCTTGCTCCACGACCAAAGCCTCAATCTTCCACTGCAAACTCATCCTCTCGGCTTGAAACACCTTCCTCCCAATGCTTGTTGCCTTCCCGATGAGTTTCTTTGTTCATCTTCTCTTCCCTTTTCCTTCTTTCAAACTCCTCAAAGGCCCTTCTAGCAAACTCCTCACCACCCCAGAAAAATAAACCCAAGCTCTTTCCAACTGTGACCTCTCTACTTACCAAGTTTTGAAGAGTCCCACACCCTGTCTTGTTATCAACGCCATTGTTGTTTTGCATTGTCTTGCTCTTACCAGAATTAGAGTCATCTACACTCACTTTGTCCTTTTGTTGCTCCTTTCCTAAATGAGAGGGCACAGGCTGGCATTGCGTCATTGTCCCCCTGCTTTTAGAGCGAGATGACCTACTGCCTATTAATCTTTTCCTCATATAAACCCATTTGTAGTTTTTCATGGGGTCTGCCCCTGCCAGACCAAGTTTTAGCCTGGAGAATATTTTCATCACATGCACTGCGTTAAGATTTTTCGAACTACAAGATCTCTTGTTGATCACATCGCTTATCTGGTTCTCTTCCTTTTTCATCAAGCTTGCTCCTAAGGCCCAGATCTTCTTTTTTCTTTGATCAATCCTAAGGCCCAGATCATCACCCAATCTACCTGCTTTCACCTCCTCGGATTTAAAACCATCCTCATCTGAAACTTCGGACACAGGATAGTCGCAAAAAACCTCGGCACCTCTGCCACCTAGGGTACAGCTATCAGGCTCTTTATTTGCTAAATTAGTCGGGATCCTCGCATAATTCGTGCCTATTTCACCAATGAGACTCTTATTGATGCTCTTGTCATACTTGGCGATCACCCAGATCCACGTTTCTCCCTTACTCTCAATTCGGAGCACTTCTCACCACCGACCCACTTCTCTTAAACTTTGGTTTGTGAATATCTAAGGCCTTTCTCTTGTAACCTCTGATCTTCCTCTGATTTTTCTTCCATCCCCTTACTATTTCACCACTACAATCCTCATCTTCATCTGGAACTGCATTTGGCCGAGACGCAAGCTCCAGACTGATCCCTTAACATACCACTTTACATATTTTATGTGTTAATGCTATAGAATGCAGTACCTGGTATTCTATCCAATACTTGTCAAATACAACACCAAAACACTAGGCATACATAGGTATCCGAGTATCAGCCATTAAGAATATCCAAATAAAAATAATAAATGCCATCAAATATGAAAATCCAAGAAGTATTGACTCAATGATCCAAAATATATGTAGGATGACAAGACACTCTCTTATGTTCTCTTTTCTTCTATTCCTCTAACCCTTTGATGCATGTGGCAGTAATGAAAATTCTTAAGAACCATTCAAAGAACATGGCTTCTCTGCTATGTATTGAATCATGTTGAGAATATACAACATGTTGTAAGGGTATTTTGGGGTTTTTTCCTTTCTTTTGAATTTAGGTGCCCAAGTAAGGGAAATTTTGTATTTTTCCTCTCAAATATCAGTAACGAGACACAACATTCGTAACTCTTCTCTTCTCTTCTCCTTTCTTTTCTTCTTTCTTGGTTCTTTCAACAACTTGGTACCAAACCAACATTTGGATTCAGGGTGAGACTTCTGCTGGTGTTCGTTACCCTAGAGGCAGCCTATTGACATCGGACTGTCATTAGATGACATTAGCAGTCCATACAAGTGGCGGCAACCATCCTTGAATCTGATATTGTTCAAAAGGCCCTGATTTTAGAGATTTTTTATATAGGTTTACAGCCATGTGAAACCTCTATGATTTGTTATATTTTTCCAAAGGGAAATTTATAGAAAATTCAAATTTTATATTGAAGCTGTTTAGCACCTTTAATGGAGTGTTTCTCCTCCAAACCAACTTCATTTGGCTCGTCTTATAGCCTAGGAAGATAGGAAGTGGTCCCATATGTTTTTCAACCCTAGAAATTTTTGGGGGATTTTTCTTCTCCCTATATTTTTCCACCAGATTGTTTGGGGGTTGTTGTTGCTTCTCAGTCGTATTTTAGCTTCTCCCTTGGCCTTGTTGTATGCCAGTTGTGCATCAAAACTCTTTGTGACTCTCAAAACTTTGCCCTGTTAAGGAATGGAGGCTTCTAAGGATGTTCACTTTGGTCCCAAGAGTGTTTCCAAGAAACGTATATATTTCCAATGGCATGATAACCACTATGAAACTTGATGGAACCACCTCCCTGGAATGATCCCCAGTCTACTAATCTTGCCAATGGAAGAATAGGTAAGTTGGATTTTATCACTAGAAAGGAAACCGAGCTTAAACCAAAAGACCCGAAGTAACGAAGTTTGCTAAATGGGAGCAAGACATCTGATGGTAATGTCATGGCTGGTTTGTTCTATGCAGTCACATATAGCTCGTAACTGCATGTTCTTATCCACTACCAAGGGCATTGGGTATAGGGTCACAGCCACCTATCCTCAAGCTAGAAACACTACTAGGATTTATTAGCTTTGTAGGGAGGCCTATATTTTGCATCAGGGGGGAGAGGACTGTAGTAATGTACTTCTCCTTATAGTCTCTATGGGAAGAAATGGATCATTTGAAAGCTTTAGAGTGGAAAGATCCAGAAGATGGGGAGCAATACTAATAGACAGTGTATGCCTTTAGCTTCAATTAGTTTGATGTACATAAACATCTATCAGTAAATAAATGAAGTACATTATTGTTTTATGTTCAAATCGATGTGTTTTTGTGAATTACTCCTTAAACTAGACACTTATGAGACTCTTGTTGGTTTAGAATGTTATCAGCCATTGGATAAATTTAGGGGGGGGGGGGGTATCCTAATAAGGTTGACACCAGTGTGTTGCCGAATTGGTGGATCAGCTTGTCTCAGCTACTAGGGTTAGACCCCAAGCACAGCTAGTGGGTGTTTGAAAGAAACATTGAACCCGGACCAAAACTGGAAAGTTGCCCTTAACCCCAGACTTAGCTATGGTAATGCACTAGGTTTTGGACTAAAGTGTCTTTAATATGCCAACCAGTGAGATCCATCAGGGGTCAAATATCTGGGTATGTTGGGGCAGTTTAGGAAATCACCTGAGTATGTGATCATAGTGATAGGATCAACCCCTTTGTCAGAAAAAGTCAATATCAAGGTTTATACTCTCTAATAGAAACCTAAAACTACCAGTAGTGAATTTCAACTGTATTTGAAATCTAGTTTGCAAAATGTATTTATATGTTATATTACTATTTTATGAAAAAAGTTTGCAAAAGGTTTTAATATCAAGATCCATCCGAGTAGAGATTGTGACACTGCATTTTGCAGTTGGGGAAGAGGCCATTCCCTGTGAGTAGTGTTTTGATTATGGGTCGAGAGGTTAGGTGTAAAAAACCATTACAAGATTGATTACCTTATGGGCTTCATCTTACATATGTCCATTGTCCTTGGGCCTTCATAAGGTAGCTAAATCCAATGGTCATTTATGTGTAAATGTTGGGCCCAAGCTGATTGGGTCAAGGGTTCACTGCCCCTAAGTAGGGAATTCGGCCTAACCTCTTCCAAATGTGGGGCTGAACCCTTATGGACTTGTGTGAGACCTTTGTGGATCTCACACTATACAATGTTCAGGCCTAAAGTGTCCATACAATACCCTGAGACGTGAACCATTAAAGAAAGTGGGCCTAAGGCCTAATATGATTAGCTAAGTATGTTTCCTTTCTTTTGTATTTGGATGCCCAAGGGAAATTTTGTATTTTTCCTCTCAAATATAAATGCAATATTTCTGGTGTAAACAGTACGACAAACCATTCGTAACTCTTCTCTTCTTCTCCTCTTTTCTCTTTCCTTCTCCTTTTCTTTTCTTCTTTCTTGCTTCTCATTCAACAACTACTCATGCCTATTTAGAACACTATTGTACTTAAATAAAATGTGAAAGGATATAGATGTAAAGGCCAATTGAAAAAGGAATTCAAAAAATGTTTGACTAAAAATGTAACAATATGAAAGTCACCACCTTAACAAATTATACCAGGAGTAGGAATTACCTCGTTGATTATGAGTGCCTTCCCATTTCTAACAATATATTGGACATCCTGCCGATAGAACTCCTTGGCCTTCAAGGCGTTCATCACAAATCTGCAACATTTAAAAGCTAACCACTTGAAAGGAAATAATATGCTACTAGAGTTATCCATTAGCCAATGACCACAAGAACATGTCAACTCCCTAGGAATACTTCTGATTACCATCCACATATCCAGTTGAGTTCAACACCTTGAAGATTACTATTTGACATTGTTAGAGTAGAAGTAAAAAGGAGTATCTAATTTTACCTTGCCCATGGATCGTTTTCATCCCATAGGTCATTCGTTTCAAGTGCCATCTCAGCAAGGGCAATCCCTTCCTCAGTTAACTCCACAGAGTTATCCTTAAGTTCCACATTATAATGCTGTAATATCAATGTAACTTGAAATATTAATAAAATTCCTAAAGAGTAAATTAGATTCACGTAGCAGTAATAATGTTATAGCATATAAATTGTATGTATACCATGTGACTAGAAAATAAAGATCAACTATTAAATGAATGGAAAAGGAATATGCTTCACTTACAAGGCCTTGTATAAGCAGATCAGCCACTTTAGCTGCAACTGGATATCGTGCAGCATCTTTACTAGCCTGAAAACAAAGAAAAAATGAAAGAAAGAAGGATGCCTCTAACTAGCTACTTCAACTAATATCAGCTATTATTAGAACCACAAGTCACTAAGTGTAGCCTCCAAAATGTGAAGAAAACTACCTCTCCGCTTATTAACAAGGGATTCCTTCCTTCGTCAATAAGGACTGAATCAACTTCATCAACTATTGCAAAATGAAATGGCTTTGGCCTGTTTAGGACATACACTTTTAGTAGTTCAAGAAATCAAGAAAATAAGAACTTCACGTGATGCTTGTGAACGTACCATCTCATAACAAGTTGTCCATTGTTTCCAGCAAGATTGTCACGGAGGTAGTCAAAACCAAGTTCCTACAAGACATTACTAAGAATCCATAAACAGCTAAAGAGCTTATATTGTACTGTTCATTAATCAGATGCAGCCAAAAAAAAAATAGGTCATTCATGTAAATATAACTGCAGATATCTACAGAGGATTTTCACCAGTAACAAAAATTTAAAGTGGAAAATAGGAAATCTAACCAATCAAGTTTCAACAGAAGAAGCAAAAGATAATAAAGCTCAAGAGCGAATTGATCATAGCCACTTAAGAGGAGCAATCTAAAAGCCCAAACAACAAACCAAGTAAAACATATGTCATCTTGACAGTAAATCCGATTGAAAATTAAAGAAGAAGAAGAGAAGAGAAGAAAAGAGAAGAGGAGGAAGAAGAGAAGGAGAAAGAAGGATTAGAGGCAACGAAACAGTGCTGGCGGTGCCAGCTTCATTATAATATATAGGGCAAAAAAAAGAAGGGAAATGACCCTTGTGCCCCTACTATAAGTAAAGTACAATAATCAGAAAAAATAAAAACGCTTTAAAACAGACCCTAACAAAATAAAATCAATTTTTTCAACACTCCCCCTCAAGTTGTAGAGCATAGATGTCAATCATGCCCAACTTGTCACACAAATCATTATGCCGCACATGATGAAGACCTTTGGTGAAGATGTCTGCAAGTTGTTCTTTTGAGCCGACATATGGGGTACACACTTCTCCATTCACAAGTTTCTCACTAATAAAATGATTTGTCCACTTCAATGTGTTTCGTCCTATCATGGAGGACTGGATTAGCTGCAAAGTTGTAGCAGCCTTATTGTCACAATAGAGTGACATAGGGTTGCTAACTGCAAAACCAGTTCACCTAACAGATTTCTTATCCACATGATTTCAGCAACTCCATGAGACATAGCTCTGTATTCTGCTTCAGCACTAGATCTAGCCACCACACTTTGCTTCTTACTTCTCCATGTGACTAGGTTTCCCCTTACAAAGGTACAATACCCACTAGTAGACTTTTGGTCATCAACTGCCCCTGCCAAATCAGCATCAGTATATACTTCCATCTTTAAATGTCCATGTTTCTGGAACAGCAAACCAGCTACGGGAAACTTCTTAAGGTATATGAGGATCCTCTCTGCAACTTCAAGGTGAGTTGTCCTAGGATTGTGCATGAACTGACTAAGGACACCCACTGCATAAGCAATATCAGGCCTGGTCATAGACAAATACAAGAGTCTCCCTACAAGTCTCTGAAACTTCTTCACATCTTTCAAGAACTCTCCCTGACTATCTCCCAATTGATGGTTAGATTCAATTGGTGAGTCAATTGGTCTTGCCCCTAGTTTGCCTGTATCTTCTAGTAGATCTAGTACATATTTCCGTTGGGAAATAAAGATGCCCTTGTGAGAACGAGCAACTTCAATTCCAAGGAAATAATGCAAGGGRCCTAGATCTTTCACCTCAAATTGAGTGGCTAAGAACTTTTTTAGTCTYTGTATTTCRRCCTCCCAATCTCCTGTGATCACTATGTCATCCACATACACAATTAGAGCTGCAATTTTCCCTTCACCTTTCTTCACAAATAGAGCGTGGTTTGACTGGCATTGTTTGAACCCCATCTGTTGAATTGCTAAGTGGAACTTACTAAACCAGGCCCGAGGAGATTGTTTCAGCCCATATA